TCTCTAAAGTCAACAAATGGAGAACTTCACAGCCACTGTTACTCGCTTTCTTGGCCTCCTATCATTTTTGAGTCTTCGGCCTCATAATAAGTGATTTGAGGAAAAATATGAGATAAACCTCCCCTTAGGCTTAGTGCCGGGGAGTAATTCATTTGCCTCGGACCTTAAGTGTCCGGTTCGGCACAACCTCCCCTCAGGCTCAGCGCCGGGGAGTAATTCTCTCGCCTCGGACCCTATGAGTCTTCGGCCTCATAATAAGTGATTTGAGGAAAAATATGAGATAAATCTCCCCTCAGGCTCAGTGCCGGGGAGTAATTCATTCGTCTCGGACCTTAAGTGTCCGGTTCGGCACAACCTCCCCTCAGGCTCAGCGCCGGGGAGTAGTTCTCTCGCCTCGAACCCCAAGTGTCCGGCTCTGCAAAACCTCCCCTCAGGCTCAGCACCGGGGAGTAGTTCTCTCGCCTCGGACCCTAAGTGTTCGGCTCGGCAAAACCCCCCTCCGGCTCCACGCCAAAGAATGTATAATTCGCCTCGGATCCTGAGTATCCGAGACAGCTTCGGACCCTAAGTGTCCTATTCAGCAATACTCCTCGCCTCGGATCCTGAGTATCCGAGACAGCTTCGGACCCTAAGTGTCCTATTCAGCACTAGTCCTCCACACTCAGTGCCGAGGAATAATTCGTCTCGGATCCTGAGTATCCGAGACAGCTTCGGACCCTAAGTGTCCTATTCAGCAATATTCCTCCACACTCAGTGCCCAGGAGTAATTCGCTTTAGACCTCTGATACTCAGATCAGAACTCTTTCCTCCGGACTCCAAGTGTTTAATACCTTGTGTATGCGGATATGTCATAAGTTCATCATATTCCACCCCACATCAGGAACACATGAGAAGGAAAGAGTATGTATACGTCTACTGAAGGCAAGTAGAAGGCGAGGAGGGTTCATTTAACAGTTAAATCATTGTCCATACGACTCATCTTGCGATATCAACTAAACTGTTAAAAGGATCTCCTTCTTCCCACAATCCTTGCGTTTTCACGGATAGCATAAATCCGAAGCATAAGACAATGTTTAGTGTTTAAACACATTACCAGTCAGAGAAATATGAACAGTATCAAGAGCATACGGTAAAAACAAGTCAGGCAAGCCTAAAACGAAAAGTTATATTCATTATCCCAAAACAGGCTGTTCATATTTACAAAATACATAGTTCTACTTCCTCTTCGGATCGAAGGGAGTAGATTCAAAAGCATCCACTACATTAGGACTTGAGGTAGCCGCAGGCGCAGGGGAGCTAGGAGTACTCTTCAGGTGTGCCTTCACCATCTCGGCAAAGCGAATTTCAGCTTCCAAAGCCTCTGGCCCTTCATCGTATAGGAAGTGCACCCCCACCTGCTTGTCAAAGGCGTCCGGATCCATCGTCTTAGGGCCTGAGCCCTGATTATAGCCAGACCGGAACGCTTTAGCACTAGCCAGGTGCGCCAGACAGGAGTAGCGCCCCTGCATTTGCTTCCCCGCCTTGAAGCAAGTAGTAAGAGCCTCGGTCAGGCGTTGAACCTCGGCCTGAAGAGAATCCACCTTAGCCTCAGAGGCTGACAACTGCCTCTTATACGCATCCTTAGCTTCAGAAGCTATCTTCAGATTGGTAGAGGCAGTAGTGGCTCTCTTCTCTGCATTGTCAAGATCCTTTTCCAACTTCTTGATGGAGAGGGATTGAACTTCAGCAGTGGCGCAGAGGGCCATGGTGTGGTATAGACTCTGTTTAACAGGGAAGCAAATATAAGCATAAATAGAAACACAAGCAAGCAAGAGTAACATAATTCTGAAGGTGCAATGCGAACCTCTATGGCCCGGACTGGGGTAGAGGGGAGTAGTTGCTCCAACCCCATTTGGCTGATGGCTTCCTCGTCCTTTGGGAGCCACATTCCTCGAGCCACCGCCAGTGCAGCTGAAGGGTCTGTAACCACAGAATCCCCTGAGTGTAGGACTGACTTGTCAGCCCTAGTGAAGGAAGGAGTCCAAGGAGCCCCAGTCTCAGCAAGAACAAAGGCCCTGACTTCATCTTCAGGTTCGGCCTCTCCAGCTTTTTTCCCTCTGCTTTTAGAGGGGACTTTGCCCTTGCCAGAGGAAGAGGGGTTGAGGCGAGATTTCTTCAATGGTGGTTCCTCATCCTCAGTTGATCCAATGACGACCAAGGGTTGGGCATCTCCGGCTTTCTTTTTTAAAGCCTCAGCCCGCCGTATCTCCTCCTCGGTCATAGGGAAACTGTCAAAGGATGGTAAAGCCAGATCCATGAGGTCTGCAGCAACGGCACTGGAAGCAATGTCCTTGAGGTTGGAGGAAGTTAGCAGGTCCTCGATAGGAGAGGGGTCACTCCAGACTCGTTCCTCAAGAAAAGAAAGTCTGTTCCTTGCTGCGGAGGCTGGGAATGTAGCTGAAAAAACACCAAGAAATTCATAAATACGGCGAAATATTAAGACTTGGCAAGGAAAACAGCCAGAACACTTGGTATGAAGGGAGGTTAAATATTCTATACCTAATTTCCCGAATTTGCGCGGAATGGGAAGCGCAATTGATTGGGACACGAACCATTTTCCTTTAACTACAACCATCCTTTCTTTCCATTTCTTTTCGGATGAAGGAAGGTTCGTGCATATCCTTTGATGAAGGGGAGAGGTAAAAAAGAAGCGACCAGGCTCGGTCCCATGCTTAGATATATTGTAAGTAAGCAGAAGGTCGGCAAGGGTCAAATCCAGAGCCTCTAATCTCCGGCGCACCAACAACACCGAAAGGATGCGAAAGAAATTGGGATTTACTTGAAGGGGGGCAAGACCTAGCTTATTGAAAACTAAATGATAGAAGGGATGAAGAGAGAATCGGAGGGCGTTAAGGTGCCCTACCGAAAGAAGCAACTCATCCTCCTCAATTCCCTCGCCGGAGGTGAAATCGGCACCCTCGGGATATTCTGCAATGTCTACTCCTTCAGGAACATCAAATTCTTCCATTACCGAAGCAATAGAGAATTTGATGCGGCGAATAGAGATGATTGCTTTCTTCTCTTCATGAGTAAGAACGTAATCAGAGCCTGAGGTGGATGTTTCGGTTGGAAGAGGGGAAGTACCTGATGGATTCAACGAAGGGCGATCTGTAGAAACCCTAGGAGGGGGAGCCCTAATGCGAATGGGGGAAGATGAAGGTGTGGATTCAGAATCCCCAAGGTCTACACGATCGGGAGTAGACGAAGTACTCATAATGAAAGATTGAAGAGAAAGATGCGAAACTAACCTGACAAAGCGATGGAAGCGATGGAATGAAGGACGCAGAAGTGCAGCGAGGGCAAATGTAACTCTTGCAAAGTCTTGTGTGACGGATTAATAATGAAAGACCACGAACCGTTTCTGAAGCAAAGTGAAAACCAGTTTCAATTCCCTCTTTAATAGGAGCCGTCACTCAATTAAAGATGGAATTTGGGGCAAAGTGTGGAGGGAATAAAACTCCCTCCAATAAGAAGCGCACACGTCACCACTACCCATATCTACATTCCAAGGATATATAAGGCCCATCATGCTCAAGCCCAAATTGAGGGTATTTACAGCCCAAGACCATTATTAGTTATCCTCCAACTTCCATCAAGGCCGAATCAAGAAGTCATCAGCCCAGCTTGTCGTCAGCCCAGCGTATGAGTATTTGATACGGTCCGATTAGAGGCAGCGGCGCGGGAGAGGGTTTTGGGATGATTGATCATTACTGTGTTGATTTTTCATGCTTAAATGAAATTAAGATTCCAGAGAATTTTTAACCAAGGATATGCTATATATATAACCTTTTTTGTGGCAAACAATGTCTAGGGCACAAGATCAGCACAGATAGTGTTTTAGACCCCTTGTGGGGTAATAATTTTTTTTAATGCTAATTTTACAACAATAATAACAACTTTATTAAAAAAAGGTGTAATTATAGTTATAAAAAATAAAATGGACAAAATTATTCAATGAAAATATTTAACCTCTCTATATTTAAAATGCAGTTTTATAAGTTATAAATTTTAAATTTATTAACCATTTAAAAGGGTTAGAAATTCTAAATTTGTTAACTATTTAAAGGGGGTAATTTTTCTAAATAAAAACACTTTTAAAGCAATCCTTTAGGGTTTGCTTGATTAGTGTGAAGTAGATAAAAAGGAAAAGAAATGGGAATTTTTTTTAATTTTTTGGAGTTTGGTTATCTAGATAGAGAAAATTTTGAGGAGAGTGGATTCTAGTATAGGATAAATTTTTCTAAAATATTTTCCTGCATAAAATACAAGAAAGTTTACATTCTCACTCAAAACTGTTATTTTATTTACAAATTTCCTATTATGCCCCAATTGAATTGCTTTTCCAATTTTTTTCATAGAAGTTATTGAATTATGCTATATCTATTTACTGGGACACATTTGGATTCATTATATGTACTACTGTCATTACCTAAAGTTTTTGGAAATGACTTAAGAATTGAATGGTAGAAACCAATATTTCAATAGATATATGAGGCCATGAATTAGATATTATCTATATGACATAACTATCTCACGTGGATGAAAATCAATATAATATTTATTTTTTATTATCAATACATCTTTAAAATTGAATAGGGTTTTATACTCAAATCATATGTGATTTTTGTATAAAAAGATTTGCATTGTTCATATTCATAAAATATGAAAGTGGACTTATAAATTATGTATGAATCAAAAAATTATTATGCATTAATTATAAAATATGTTACTTTTGCATTATCCAAACTAACAAAATAATATTTTCTCAAAACTTTCATAAAAAATTTTCCTACTAATCAAATGCATGCTGAAAACTTGATTTTTCTTTCTTTCACTTTCACTTTCCATCATACATTTCTGTCTAACCAAACAGACCTTTAGACTTATCTTATCGACACAAATATCAATTTTTTTATTATTTGATAATACCCACAAAAAAAAAAAAAAAAAAAAAAACAATTCATAATAATAAAATAAAAATAAATAAACAGTAGCACATTTCGTCTATTTTTATTTTTTATTTGGTTTAAAATTTTGAACGAAAAAATAAATTATACAATAACTCAACGTAAGCACCCTATATACATCCTATCAGCTCCAATATGCTGTGGTACTTTATCGGTTGGATAATTTTTTTTTCACCTTGTTTCAAGCTCCCATGGATGCTCTACTGAATAAAGCCCCTACTTGACACCGGGCACTAAGCTCAAAGGAGCGAACAAAAGTGGATTGAAAGGCTTGCAGGCATGGGAATGTCAAGCTCAAATGTTGTGTAGAATCAGATCCAAGCGGTAAGCTGACCGGTAGTTTTGAGTTGTTAACGAGGATGCCCTGATGGTGATTCTTTCTTTTACGACCCATATTTCTTTATATAGTTTAGAAGAAGTTCATGGCCCTAGAAATACTAGTTTATAGGCCTGAAGCAACCCTTCCAAAACCACGAAATTGGCCGAGTAGCTTAGAAGAGAGAACATTTTAATAATTAGCCTTTAGAGCAAAGGAAAGTGCCTAATTTACAGGTTGAAGTACCTAAAAAGCATTGTTTACAGCACATGATCCTGCCCCTATTAAATTGGAATGCTCCTGCATATTAACATCAATTTGTTTGCCTGATAGCATAAAAACATCATATCATAATAAAACAGCACATTAGCAAGTGTCATCAAACATAAATATATATATATATATAAACAAAAAATAAAATAAATAATTAAAAATTGCCCTCCATTTCCCAGAATTCATTTTGGAAACACTGGATCGGCAAATCGGAATTGTGAATTTCGTACCATTTCAACTCCAAGATGTCGATTTGGTGTTTCCAAATAGCTTCAAAAAATATGAAATTGGATAGACTACAACAGTTCTTTTTTGGGGAAAAGGAAAAGGACCTAAAATATCTAAACCAAATACAAGTTCCCAAAATGTAGGACCTTCTATATGAATTTATCGTTGCTTTCCCATTATCTCTTTGACCAAGTCTAGAATACGGAAATAATCATAAAAAAGTGCAGATTGTTTACCTTCCAGTCCATCCCTACTCACCCTGTTGCTGCCTGCAAGGTTATTGCATGGGCTCCCACCAATAACAAGATCAAAACCACCAAAGGTGTCTATGAACTGCTCCAGCCGATCAGCATTTAGCTGTTGAACGTCAACTACGTCAATCAGATTCCCTCTCTGGTTTGTTTGTTCCCACCAGCTCCGGACAGTATTTCTGTTAACTTCAGAAATTTCAACAGATACAACATTCTTCAAAGGTATACCGAGCCGATGGAGGGCTACTTCTGCACCACCAATCCCAGAAAAAAGAGATAAAAGGTTGATGCCACCCGGGAACAAGTCCCTCAGCACAGAGAGATGATAGGCCACTGTATCAATCTGAAAAGAATTTATCCCATAAAGAATATCACAAATTCAACATTAAGGAGATCAGTCGCTGAAATGATTTAAATTACGTAATTTATTGGAAGTAAGAACACTTTATTCTAGTATTATTCAGAACTTGGAATTATTTGCAATATTCAAATATTCATGATTTATTCATGTTCACCTGGAATGAGTTGCCTAAAGATTTATATCTGTCAGTCCTACTTGTACCACCTCTTGTATGGTTCTTTGGGAACCCCAATAGCATTTCCACTTCATCGGGTTCAAGAGGTGCAACCTTGTTCCTTCCTACCCAGACTAGATTCCATTTTCGGCATTCATCAAGTACATACTTTTGCACTCTCAGTGGTGGTTCACCATCCCAATCATCTAGAGCCTTGCGGATCCTATCTGTCAGTTTTGCACTGCCAATGCAAGTTTGTAAGCAATTCAGCTTTGTTCGCGTATCCCACGAGGGCCACCATTTCCTTGTTAAGGGTAACGCCTCATGTATGGTGCGTGGGGGCATCGGAAGAAGAGGAAACCTATCTCGAATCGGAAGATTGTGAACATAGCCTCTTTTCCTCGCAGCTGCACAGAAATACTTCGAATCAACAAATTCTGGTTCAACATCATACAAGAACCGAGATATGGTATTCCAAACTCCTCTTGGAGCTAGTGCCACATTCTCATAGTAGAAGTAAGGAGGTCCAACGGCTGCCTCTGGAAGGGTTCTGTGAAATACTTGACACGGTTCAGTAGGGACTCCAAACCCAATCATTGGTTTTGGAAGACGAATTATCTCATCCTCTTCACGTAGAACCTTCTTCTCAGACCTCTGTTTTTTCCTTTTCAACAACTCATACTCATAAAATTTTCTCTTTCCCTTGTCATTAGAGACACCTTTTGGCTTTGGCTGCGAAGGTGGAGAAAAAATAAAATCAATCACACGAAAAATAATCCAAATGCAGTTAGGAAAGGATCAATCAGAAAAAGGATTATGATACATTAATAATTAACAGAATTATCACAATTCCCTCAATACTTGTTCCAATATCCTAAAAAGAAGATAAATAACACCTTACTTACATCAGGTAGATATGCATCCGCTGCCTTTGCCATTTGAGCGGCACATATAAAATCTGTAAGCTCAGCAATTGAGGCATCTGGACCTGTGGTGTTTTAAAGGAAAAGGAGAAAAAAAAAATAAAAAAAAATAATAAAGTGAAAGGAAAAGATACAAGGGAAGATAAAAGATTTAAGCGAGACTTTGCAGCTAGAATATACACAATATGCAATAAGTTTTGCTACATCAATTAGCCAAAACTAGTGGCTAATAGGACCAAACACGTATGCATATTATATCATATCATAGTTCAGCAGCACATGGAAATTTACTTCATCCATTACATTTGATGATTCTTTTTGTTCTTTATTGAAGTTCTAGACGGCCACAATATAACACAAGTGTCACTAGCCACTCAACTAGAAGTTTACTGAGAAGATCTAGTTTCCACACCGCATCAAATTCATTTAGACAAGTACACTATCCCTTCTCTGATACTGCAATTGGCAAACTAAACAATGGGAATATTGAATACATAAAATATGTCTCTATATTACCATACTCAACAAGTAGGGCAAAGAAAGCTTCTGCTCGATACCATGAGCAAGTTCCAGCAGGCTAAAAAATCATCCTATGGCAGAACTCAAACTACACATGAGAAACAAGGTAGAGTCCCCATGCTTGTCCAAGTCCCTTGTGTACCTCACTTTAGTCAAATATATAAAATATAAGACGCACCGGTAGATGACTGATCAAATATCTTCCTTTCTCCACAGCAAATTAGTTAGGAGCATCCATTCAGAGTGACAATTTTGTCAGGATTTTTTCATGATGAGATCCAGTCATTAAGAAAATCATGTTGAACAAACTGTTGCATGTAACCTCCATTACAGTACTGGTCTCATACCATTTTCACTCAAAAAACTACCCACTTTTCACTCGAAAAACTACCCACTTTTTAGTAACGTAAAGTACCAAAGACATTGTTGGAAAAAAAGGTACCAAAACAATGAAAAAAGAGATAACAAACTAGCTAGCACCATGTCTCACAATCATAAGAAATCCAGTGAACGTAACAACAAGGATGACAAGGAAGAAAGGTCAAATATGTTATATGAATTGTACATGAGAGATCTAGTTCTTTGCTCAACAAAGTACTCAATGAATTGAGAAGTTAACTTGGGAAATCCACACCACCTCAAAATATCAAAGCTTGCTTGATGAAATTAGAAAAAGTTGCAACTGTTGAACCCTAAGTCTCAAACAAAAAATGAGAAGCAAATCAACAAGCTTAATATAACAAATTCCAAATCTCTCCAGCCAAACCGTTCACACATTGACGGATCCAATGTGCCAAGAATAATAGCATAACGTCACACACCCTTCATATGCAAAGTAATATGCTAAAAGCAGTATAAAACCAAAGAAATTGTCATATACGCACCGCATCTGTCCTTAGCAATTGAAGCCTCTTCAACTGTGTAGCCCATGGTTACTAGAGACGAAAATGTCTTATCCTTGCCAGACAAAGAAGTTCTATTTCCCTGCAATATAAATCAATTATAACTACCGAAATCAACATACTAAGCTAGGCAGGAACATCCAAGAGAGATCTGTCTTAAATTACAATATGTTCCAAGCGGTGAATAATGTTACTTCTCGAAAGCCTAGGGAATACTCTCATTTATAACCTAGAGGATATCAATCAAGACTATCTTACGTCTATCAGGCAACATAACTACTTCAAAGGAAACTATCAAGAAGGCTGTTATGCTTTTTTACCGAAACACTAATTGGTCATGCAGTCATGGGCGTGCAACTAAAAACATCTTACAAAACTCTATAAAGGGTGCAAAATAATTTTAAAGTAAAATACTTCAACATAAAGTAACATAGGTAATTGCATTTTAGATCTTGGAAAAAACCCAGTAGCAATATGATAATTGCTTTTCAAAATGAGAGAAGGCAAGAAATCAGTAATGTAGGGAGGAGGGAAATAGTGAGCTTTTGGTTCTAACAATGTTTCAACTTGATTCTTTTTTCGTTAAGGAAATGTGGAGTCAATGAAATTATTACTCAAATGAAAGTTGCCAACATATGCATTACTCTACAATAAATTTTTAATGCACAACAGTTTTGGTGACATTTACATCTCCAGATAATAAAATTCCATATATACATAAGCACCTACCATCCCAGTACGTCACTGACTTTAAAATCTCTCTTTGCTTTGTTATCAAACTACTATATTAGATGCGTATGCAAAATTCGTGTTAACATTAGAAGCGCTACACAAATATCAGAAATGCTCTAATACATCAACAACCAAGCCTTTTTTCCCAACAACTTGGGGTCGACTACATGAATCCTCTGTTTCCATTCCGCATCAGCAATAGTTTAATCATAATATAAAGGCACTGAAACCAAGCATTAGTATAGAAAAGATAAGTTGGTAATGATAATGATAAATAATTTTGCTAGCTGTTAGACATTAGCACAAAGGATATTAAATAATTTGGTGGTCAAGCATCATATAAATCAATCAACAAAGTATCATATGTAGACAAGAGGTCATAGCTACCTCACTTCCAGACCAACTATCTGTATCTGAAAAACCATCTAGAAAACTCTCGTCATAATCTGTAGAGTATTGATCAGAATCGACATGTTGCTGTTTTTGAGGAGATTCAGGAGAGTTTTCAAGAGCCTGCAAGAAAGTAGTAAAATATAAATCAGAAAAAATTCAAATTTTCAGGAGTAAGAGAAATATAATCCCAAAGGGTGATTGCCGAACATTTGTAGGCAGGCAAAATTTTGTCTCAAGAAGGAATTTTTTAACTATGGAATGGATCAATAATCAGACAGACACATCCCTGAAATTAGTAAAATATAAAAGGAAAAGAAACACAAAATTTAAGAAGAGACATATAATAATTCCAAAATGTGACTGCTTATTTAGGCAAAGTTTTTTTTTTTCCTGCTAGGTAAGTCGCACACACTCATTTGCCCCTTCACCCTTCCATTTGGAAGGAGGATGATACCACTTGGCTAAGCCCTTGGTGGTAATTTAAACATTATGGTAGACACCTAAATATGGAATATACGAAGAAATTGAAGGTCCCACTGAGATTTGAACTCGTCCTGCCGGATTTAGAGTCTATTGTCCTGGCATAGTATTTTCAATCCAGGAAAATGTGTGATAGCACTAGCAAAGTATATTGCTTAACACAAATTATGCATTATTTGCTCATCAGATAACCAATCCCTAATAAATAGATTCACCGTTTGACATCAACCCAATCAATTAATTAAGACTCTACTACAAGGCATTCAGTAAGACAAGCTCAAGGAGAGAAACAAACAAAGCTGATGTGCACATAATTAAACTAAAGCACTCATCACATAAATTAGGACATTGGCTCAAATCATGTGAACCATTAATGTGGCTGAAAACAGGATGGACGAGAGAAAATTCAAATACAACAGGCTTAAAAATATGATATCATATTTAGACCTTTCCATATTGGGGAAAAATTACCTTATTGATCAGAACCCACAAGGATCACTGGTGTGCTGGTAAAAGTCCAATAAAAAGAGATCTGATATTCATCGATCTTTTATTAATTAGTAGAATCAAGCTCAAGTAATATCAAGTGGTCACATTTCTAAATTTATGAATGAGTCCTATGTAATAAGATGTTCTATTTGAAGAATATACTGATGGTTCTACTTGGCATGTCCTGATAATAATAATACTGCTTAGTTCCGGCTATTGCCATTGACATGTAAACCACTGCAAATCCAGGTAACAAAGTTGATGTTATGTACAACTTTATGATGCTTTTACCACATGCAACGAAAGCATCTAAGTTCTACCACATCGAACATCCATAGAGTTTCATTTAGTAGTTAGAACAAATATAAGCAACATGAATCTCCAGTGATGTGCAGAACTATCTAACTACTGGTTCTGAAAAACTCCCCCACTTGCAATAGTGTAACTAATAGCTACCTCTTGCACAAGTGTATTATTTATGGCGGCAATAATTGTGGTAGCAATTATTTAAGAGCCACAGATAAGCAACCTCTTTAAAAAGTGCATTCAAATCACTAAAGAACAACCAAAAGCAAAGGTATCGACAATTGTGGTAGCAACCTTCATGGTAAGGGACTTGTGAGTCAAAATTAGTGGCTGCAATCTTCTACCGAGATTCTTGCCACCCGTGCAACACAAATACTTCTACAACTTAGTCAAACATTTACTCTTGACATTATAAAAGGAACTGCCAATAGAAGCTGCCTTATTCAAATCACTTGCTCTTTCTGCAACTGTAAATCACATAAAAATTGATTTATATGGATGCAAAATATGTGTAAAATTGTTCTATTGCTAATAGATTACTGCATCAGATAAATGTTAGGAGTTAACGTCTGCTGAACATAGAGAAACAGTGGCCCTTGTAACTTAAAACTGCTTATTTACACCATAACATGGGAATAGATAGTGATATCCAATGATGTTACCAAACAAGTGAAATAACTCATTTTAATAAGTAGCAAGATATGTGCAAAATTGTTCTACCTTTAAATGCATTATTGCATCAAGATAAGTGTTAGTACTAGTATCACTGCTAAACTTTGAGAACCAATGGTTCTTGTAACTTGAAACTGTTTACTTCCAAGTTCCACCACAACACAGGAACAGAGATCATAACTTAATTGATATTCCCAAATATCAAGAAAGCAAAAATAACTTATTTTAATTTGAAGAATCAAGATATATGTGACCAAACATTTGCATGTGGTTTTTCAAAGAGCTTGAACAAAGACATACAACCATGGCTTCCCACGTGGCATCTAAATAAAATCGTATTTCCATTCCCTGGCTGACCTGTGTTTTTGTCTTTAACAGCACATTAACCCAGACCAAATGTACTGTTAAAAAAAAAAAACGAGTATCTGAATGAGGCAGACATTACTCACTGAGTATGTGAGGAGAGTTTCTAGTATAGTTTCTGTATTCCCTTCTCCTGCACATTTATCCGAAGAAAGTCATAAAGGAAGCTTTCAAGGTTAAAATTATCCTCAAATAAAATAATAATGCATTTACCATTTTCTTCAATTGCTTTTGCAACCATTTTTTCAGAAAACCCCATCCCTACAAAATGATGAATCAACTTGGAATGGGAAGAACCAGCTGATGAGCTTGCCTTGAGATAACAAAACAGAGAGTCAAAAACAAGTTCAAGGATGAAGGAACAGATAATTATAGAAATATATCTATATATATATATACACATATGGACTGAGTTATTTAAGCAACTTTTCATTAAAGAAACAAATATTTGAAAAAATATAAGTACAATGGAATGCCAACTTCTACAACCACAACTCAAGTAAATAATACTTGGTGAGGAGCTTTCCTCAATCAATCATTAAACAACTACAAGTGCAATATAGTACCAAGATCATCTAATAGCTTAATCGAAGTTGAGGAAATTTTCCCTCTAATATGCCACTCTAAAATTTAGATATTCTTCAAATTCCCAGTAACCAATGAAAGTGAAGTTGAAGCACATTAGCACTTAATGGATGACCCAATAAATACGATTTTTGAATTTAAATAATAATGGATCATCCAACTTATCAAAAAAATAATAATAATAATGGATCATCCAAAGATGTAGATCATATTATGTTCACAAGATGGAAAGAAAGCATGATAATAGATTATTATTTTGCAAGGGTCTAGACAAAACTGATCAATGGACAAGCATTTCAATCCTCTCTCACATAGGTTGATAACATTCAACAACAGTGAACAACTTCTTTTAGAGTTAAAAATACTTACCCAAAAGAAGAAGAAAAAAAGATTTCCTCGCTATATTTATAGTGATTCACCAACAGTCAATAACTTTAGTGCTGAAGCCAAAAGAAAGATTATGCTATAGCACCTTCTATCAGCCGATAGTATTTACCTCTCCAGAGCCTGCAGTAGCTTCTGTACCAGCTACTGTCAAACTTGAATGGGAAGATAAAGGTAAATTCTCAATTTCCCGTTCATCTTCAGTATCCCAGTCAAAGTTGTCACTCTCTTCACCAGAATGGTTCCCATCCTATGCAAATCAAAGCACGCCACAAAGAAAAAGGGAAAAGAAAATGACAAGTAATACAAATAAAATTATAACCAATCAAAACCATAAAATTAAAATCAAGGATGATAATATGGTTCTTTTCTGATTGTTTAATTGTTCATAGTGTGGCATCTAGACATATAACCTTTAATTGTTCACAGTGAGGAATAAAAGAAGAGACATGAAAAAAAAGAAAGAAAAAAAAAAAGTATGCTAGATAGAATTGCACACAAAAAGGAAGAAGTACCATCTCTTGGTAATCACTAGTTTTCCCAAGCAAATGTTCCCAAGCTGTTCAAGAAGTACATGAAAAGAATTAAGGACTGAAGTAATGCAGGCTATGCAGTGAAATAACAAGGACAGCACAGAATATCTAAGGCAATGGCTCTAATATAAGTTTCCAAAAAATAATTTAAGAACTTTAAGCACCATACCTTGTACAGATAAATAAATGTAATCACATAAAAGCTTGTAAAGTGGGTTTGTCAGTGGAAGTCGGACTCAATAAGTAATGGTTCCCAGGTAAGATATTAGGATGGTCATATAACTGGAATACAAAATTCACGTTGGTTCCAAAGAGTCCCACAAACCCAAACCCCCCCCCCCCCCCCCCCCCCCCCCCCCCCCCCCGCGGCGGCCAAATAATAATAATAATAATAGTAGTAGTAGTAGAAATAAAAATAAAAATAACCCAAAAGAAAAAATGACTGTGGAAGGGGAAAGAGAAGTCTAAGAAATATGCTTATCACGTGTCATCTGATAAATTGATTTTTGAGATGAACATTTTCTAAAGTGGGTCATTTAGGATGGGCTCTTTAATCATTGTATACATGTACCTAGGAAGCACAGACACTTCTCTTAAGAGTGGCTAGGCAATGTAAAACAAGCGTCCGACACAAACACATGAGGGACACGGCCAGACACATGTCTGACATGGCCAAAGTTTTCCTTATTGGACACAACATGGAACTGTTTGGGACACTTTCAGGACACGGTAGAGTAATTTTGTAATTATATGTCTTGGACACAAGGGATTCTAATGCAATTTAAAAATAAATTATGGGATAATTTAAAAATAGTATAAAATATTAGAAAACAAAAAACACCCATCTAGCCCTAAGCTCCAAATTAGTGATTTCATTCATGATAATGAAAATAACATGAGCAGAAATAACTTTTTTGTATATATACATATATATTTTTTTTGTACGTTATCTATTATTATTTGTTGACGTATCACTGCCACATACGTGTCGTATAGTTGTGTCCGTAGTGTCATTGTCATGTGTTCATATCCAGTGGCGGTGCCACAATGGGACCAGTTGCCCCCACTGGAATTTTCCTTTATTTGTATTTTTTACTTACAAGTTTTTGTAATTCTAAAATTGCCCCCACTGAAATTTTAATACATTCGCTAAAGACCTTAATAAAAAATTGCAAAAGTCAAAAGATCCCCTATTTTTTAAATTATTTGCCCAATAAGATTTTTAAAATTCAGTAAAGCTCATGCCCAAGAATCAAAATCCAAAAAAATCCCCTCCTTTACCATTAAATTTTCTGTTATTTGTAGTTTCTAGACACGAATTTTGATAATTATAAGGGTGTTTCAATTGAAATCTTAAAAAATTCACAAAAGACCGTAAAAAAACTTCCAATATTCAAAACTACCCCTCATTTACCCAACAAAATTTTTAAAATTCAGAAAGAAAAAAAACATGTCTTTTCTCCTCTTGTGGGTCTCACATAATTTTAAAGAATAAAAAAAACACACTGCAATTTTTCATTTAGGTTCAATTTTTCTCATCATAATATGGTGAATGGTTCCCCCGACTTAAATTTCTGGCTCCGCCACTGTTCATGTCCGTGCTTCCTAACATGTGACAGGTTCAGTTGATCTAGGCATCGAGTTATGTTTAAACCCTACCATCCTAAGAGAAATCTCTTCAAATCAAAAACCCTCACCCATGAAAGCATGTCCAAATTTTGTTAAAAGGTTGGACATCACAATATGGTCAGCAAATATTACAGCCATTATTACATTTAAAAAAACAATAATAATAAGAAAAGAAAAGTAGGTGGTCAAGGTTCAAGTCCCATGGGGCAAGTGGGTGTTTTGCCAAGGTAAAATAAAAATAAAAAGAATAAATTTTTTAAAGACCCTTGCATTTATTCAAAAAGATGAACAAATTCTAAAAGAAGTTATGCCTCTTTCGAACCCCATAAACCCTAGTTTTACCAAATCAAACCCACTAAAACCTCAATCTTGTACCCAAAAAAAACAGCAATTACAATAACAACAACGACAATTATAACAAACATCAAAATGATTATAAACGAAGATTCAACCAATTCAAATAAAATTTACCTTGGGTGCCAAAAATCAATCTTTTTCTTGAAAATGCTCGAAGAAATCGCTAATGCACTTCACTGCTGTAAAAAAAACATTCTTCAATGTGTGTGTTTGTGTGTACATACATATATATATAGATATTGGGTGGATATGAGATATAGATGAAAAGCTACAGAATCAGAAACACCGAAACGAAAAGGAGATCCAGAGAAGTTAAAATAGTAACATACAGAGACGATATAGATATAGATATAGATACAGATAGCAGATATAGAGGAAGAGATTTCAATTGCAGGTGAAAATGGAGAAACCCATTAGAATTGAGTGAGAGAGGGAGAGAAGGGCTCGTACGCAGTCATAAGAAAGTCGTTTCAGTGGAATCTGTTCACACGCCACGATGGAAAATTCAATCTTACTCGCGCCAAGGAAGATAAAATATACGTTCTTGTGCTATTATGTTTCATATAAGATTATATATATATTTATTTGTATTATGTTACATATAGATTTACTATGTTTTTGTATCGATTTCATTTCATCATATGAGAAAAGTGTTTTTTTTTTTTTTTTTTTTTTTCCAAACGCAAGAAAGGTGTATTGCTGGGTTGAACATTCACCTTTCTTTTCTTTTCTTTTCTTTTCTATTTTTTTATTTTGGGTGATGGTAAAAGCATGTGGAGAGCGAGTAGCCAAACTTTTGTACTTGAGAGTGTACAAGTCATATCAAATAAATGACAAGACTCACACCTCAATCTTTAGAATGTGTTTGGATACGGGAATAGGTGTGTCTAGAGATGAAAATTAAAGAATTTTTTAATTATGTGAGCTTGGAGATATTTAAAGAAAAAATTAAAATAATTTGTTTGGTTCAATTATCTGAAAACATTAAAAAGTAAATTATTAAAAATTTAAAAATAAAAATAATCTTTAAAAATTACAAATTATATAATGTAACAAAATAATAACTGACACTATTTAGTAGACTAACTGACAGAGGCCTAACTCCTTAAATTTGTGAGTTTGATTGCCCTAATTTGCTAGGAAATCAGATTATTAGTTAGACATTTTTATTTTTTTAACTCAAGTTTCCTATAAAAAATTATTAAAAGCTTTTTCAGTTTTTCAATTTCTTAATCTAAACCAAGCGGCCCAATTCATATATGATAAAAAATAAATTATTTCAACTCCTGTTTTTACCACCACTATCACTTTTCAAAATTTCTTAAAAGCTTCAATGATCATTCAGGAAGCATGATAAGATGCTTAGTTAACAATATTAATATTTAAATATATAATAACATGCATACTCAATTTCTATTTCTATTTCTTTTTGTGTTTCTATTTCGTACTAATATATCATAAAACTAAAAAAAAAAAAAAATGTCATGTAACAGTGATGAGACAGCGAAGAAGGGGACAACAACGGTGAAGATGGCAGCTATCTGAATATGGACGCTGCATGGGGCAAGGAAAGCTTGATTGTCTTATCAAAGCCTGGTGTTTGAAGAGTTTGGCATAGGCTGACAATGGCAGATACTAAAACTGGAGTGAAGAACGGATCTTTGACGAAGAGTTTGTTCCCGACGGCAATATATTGGACTTGATCGGCGACGATGTGGGAATGTTAGATTGAAGTCATTGCAGCAAAGTGCTCACAGTGCGGCACAAGGTCATGGAGGACTTCGTTGGAGACTCCAATCATGAGCAAGATTCCGGTGCCAACAAATGCAGCCAGTGTTTCGGGATCGGCCGTTAAATAGTTGAATTATTGAGATTTGAGGAGGTTGCCGGCGATGAACTGTAAAAGCGGGATCTAGATAGAAAAGGAGGTGTTGAGTTCCTATTCTTGATAGCATTAGTTTTGGTAGAAGATGCACTAATTGATTTAATATGCAAAGAAAAAATAGTTCCGAAGAGGTTTTTGCAATTAACCCCCAAAGATAAACAAAACCAGAGATATTCATCAATCGTTTTCTTACAGAAGACCACTACAACAAACTGGGATGTCACTAATTCAGCCAACAAAGTGAATAAACAAGTACAGCACAAATCAGTCCACAAATATCAACATAGAGGGTACACCCTAGAAACCAAGGAAGGAGCACTGTTTCCGAGCATGTTCCGGTATCAGTTTGGGCAGGAGCTCCAGTGATGCTCCTTTCAGCTCTGCAATGTGCAGTATTTCAGTTAAAGCAAATGTTATCAAGAGATGAAAAATATACCACCTAACATACATTATCAGAAAACAAATTATATATAAAAAAATTAAATAAAAACCTTGAGGTTTGAAGTTAAAGAGAGGAGGCAGCGGCCTGCCATTAGGGAGACGGGTATTAGGATCACGAAGTTCATCAAAAAATGGGTGGATACAGGCCTCCAACTGCGAAACAGGAGAATACAACAGAGTATGAGATAACAGTCAAATTTCATATTACATATTTTTTTTAGTTTGCATTCTATCATCAATTCATCACCTATTCTGGTTGTGCAGATTTGCTTTTTCTTCTTTTTAAGTATAAGGACTTGAAAATAGAAAAATACCACCACCTCCAAAGCATTTTCCTAACTATTTGGAGTCAACTACATGATTCTTATGTTTCCATTCTGCTCAAAGGACATGATCTTAGTCAAACTGCATGTTTTTCTTGCCAACTCTACCCACATTAATTTTGATCTTTCTCTTCCTCTTATATCACTCTTCTTAATTGGCACACTTAATGGTCTTTTTTGCACATGTCCAGACCATCTTAACCAATTTTATCTCCAATTAGTGCTACTCTAACCATTGCATTAATATATCATTTCTTATTCTATCCTTTCTAGTCTTACAGCATATCCATCTCAACATTCGCATTTATACCGCACTCACTCTATGCACATGTTGTTTCCTAACTGCCCAACATTCAATCCCATAAAGTACGGCTGTTCTAATAGTTGTCCTATACAACTTCCCTTTCAATCTTAAGGGACTCTATTAATTGAAAAATAGCAGTAATAATTTAGTGTTTGCTTCCGAAAACTATGAAAACAATTATAATATATATATAAGATTCTGATTCATGCGTCAATCAAATAGTCAAATGTACCGGATCCAAGTATTTCCTCGACCTCTTGAGGGTTTGTTGGGGCAATAGCGGGTGTGGGATCAGGTCCGTGTTCTTACCTTTTTCTTTAATAAAAAATGATATGTTTATTTCAATTTATCGTTTATGAATTCCTATAATTTTCTCTTGGGAAAATTACCTAAATGTGCATTGAGGACTCTCAAATCACAATTATATGAAAACTCAAACTTCAATGTCAAAAAACCAAATTAGGTAAAGTATTTACAGTTATGTGAAAAATTCATTGTTCGTCTAAAGGAGGAATAAAAAAATAAAAATTGTTCTTGCTGAATCAAGGCACCGTTCTGTACGTTTGCGCATCACATTTAATACAACATGTTCAGTACACATCTTTAAAGGATACAAGGGCAGTTTTGTCATCATACGTGGATGAATAGTGATTTTCACAAAACTGCTACATAGACATTTCTGTGCATTACGCTTTTGAGTTTTCATATAATTATAATTTGAGGGACGGAAATGCACCTTTCAGTAACTTTACCTATTTTCATTTTTTTGTCATACAGGGGATTCATGGGGAATAATTATTCTTATTTAAGTCAATACAGAAATGAAAGTTTTCCCCCTTTTTCTCCCCTCATGTAAGAGGTCGGTGGGTTCAAGTCCCCATTGGAGCAATAATGAGGGTGTGTGCAAGTTGGGTATGTGAATGTCTTACAAATAAAAAATAAAAATAAAAAAAATCATGTTTTTCTCTTTAAGTTAGATATGTTAAATGAGTCAAGCCATGTAAAACATGACAAGACACCTTAAATTTGGAGAGTTAATTGTGTCATTTGCAGTGAAAACATAAGGGCCAAGGGGGTGGTAGGAAATACTCACTGCAGTACACCTTAAATTTGGAGAGTATTGAAGAAGTCTTGAGACTAGATCCACTGCTTCAGGGGGCATGCGCTTGTGAAAAATCTGCGAGAACACGGTGCCATATAATTATGAACACAAGACACTTAAAGACACTTGATGACATGAAGTATAGTGTCCTAGAAAAGAAACAGTATGAGGGTGCTTACTTTGTGCCAGGGGTGAGCCTTGATTTGTGGGAATTTAAACTCCGTATAGTTTGGATTCATACATTTGATTTCCTCACGAGTTGGAGTCCCAAGTACCTAGGGGCAAAGAGGAGAAATTAACTCAGCTCTGGTTCTATGATAAAAGAAAGATCAATAGTTTCTGTTCATCACTTGTAGAGATATATTACTCATCAAGGAGGTCTGGCAAGTTACCTTAATTATCTCAACAAGCTGATCAACTCCACTCTCACCTGGAAAGAGAGGCTACCAATTTGGAAAGGCCAAAACAAACATTCAAGATATCATTGACATTCATAATTAGTCATTGCTTTGGACCAAGTAAAAGAATGAAATTTACAGCTCGTGAAAAACCTGTCCAAGAAGCAGTTCAGCAAGGACACAACCTACAGACCATATATCAATTGCAGTTGTGTATTCAGTTGACCCAAATATGAGTTCAGGTGCACGGTAATAACGAGAACAAATATAAGATATATTTGGTTCGCCTTTGACCTGTTAAAGATTATGAACCAAAAAAAGATTAGAGGCAAATAAAAGAAAGGTAAATAGATCCATATTTGAATTGATAGTATAGGGAGGAGCAACGAAACAAGAAGCAAGAGGAAAGATGGGGGCCAAATCAACAAAGATCAGATGGATTGGGTTTAAACAAGGAGCCAATCCATTTTGAGGCCCATTACATTGGGTTAGGATTTATTTGAATTATCCATAGATTTCATGTTGGATATGGATTATGTTCAACAGATCCGGGTCGTGTTTGGACGCACACCTCAACAACAAGAGATATATCTAAATTTGAATTTACATTGGTTCCATTTCTTGCCTTAATACAACCATTACTATAAATAATAGTTAGGTGATCCTACCAACTAGTTTGTTTACAACATTTTAGGCATACCACCTCATAATCCTAGAAATAACGTTTCAAATCCCAGAACTGATAGCTTGAAAATAATATTTAGTTCTCTCATAAACTCTGCATAACAAACAATATTATGCTTGGAAAGAAAATTTACAAATAAGCAGTTATCGTACCAGAACTTTTGCACTTCCAAAATCACAAAGTTTAAGCTGATGAGTATGGGGATTAACCTGCATTGAAATATTGTATTGGTCAGAAGCATTCAATCATAACATGTGAAGATCTACAAGCTTTAAGTACAAACCAGTAAATTCTGCGGCTTAATGTCCCTGTGGCAGACTCCTATACCCCCATGAATATATGCCAAAGCTCTACAGATCTGCCAACATTAAACAGAAGTCATAAAAAACAATATTGGTCATATGTTGTGAATAAATGTCAACAATATATCATTTCCATCAACTCCTTGTCCCTTTCAATTACAACAGAACTTAATCAAGCTAAGTTCTGCAAAAGCCATTTCATCTATTACCTATTTCTCTAGGTAGAAGATTTATTTAAGCAATTCATATTACGCAAGGAAAGATCCAAAGTACCAGAAAATAACTCTTGCTTTCATGGCCCTTATTAAATTGGAGGGACACATCCATAAATTGAACGATCATATTTAAGGTTAAACATTATCTCTTTGCATATTTAATATATGAAATAGCATCTAGCATGGATACTCACACGCCCAAAATGCATATCAACTATAATTCCTGGTAAATGAAATAATTGCCATTTGACAACGTCACAACATTCACTGCTCAGAACACACATATATATTCCTGGTATATGTAAATGAGCATTTGGCAATATCAAATGCAGGAGAAGTAAACATACTAAGGTAGAGACATTTGAGATTATTTAGTGCATATATGACATTAAGTTTGACCTGAACAAGACATAAGTGGTTGAAGAAACAGGAAAACCAAAGCAGTATCTATTTACAATGTAGCGTTGATAAGGAAAGATGGAAATTTAACATACAACTAAAAGGTACACGAATTTCCTGGAAGCAAGTTTGGGGAATATATATAAATTGAATAAAAATAAATAAAAAGAAGAAGAAAGAAAATCAATGAAAGATGCAAAGAGTCTTTCATCACATTTATTGTTCCCCGTAGTTGTAGTAATTAAGCTTTCAACTAACAGATTTTCAAGCAAATGACTGCAGCATAACCAATTCAAGATCTGGCAAAAGTAAATATATGGGAAATGATGGTAACAAAGATACAATATATAAAAACTGCCAAACCTGATATGTATAGATTTTGACGTATATCATGGGCATTCGCTGATTTGCCCTGCTATAGTGTTTTGCTACACGGTAAACTGTCTCAGGTACATACTCAAGAACCAAATTGAGATAAAGCTCATCCTTCTCTGTAGTTGAAAAGAAGCAGTGTTTGAGAGAAACAACATTGGGGTGATCAAGAAGACGCATTGTTTGCAATTCACGATTCTTATATCTCTTGTCCTGTAAGACTTTCTTGATTGCAACAGTTTCCCCTGATTCTAGGCACTTAGCCTGCAAAATACGATAAACAGGGTTAAAACTTAAAAGACAATTTTATATATAGATACAGATACTTATATATGCAAGTATGTATGTATTTATATGATGGGGAACTTTTTGTTGTATGCCAACCTTATTCAAAAGGCTACCATCAATTACCAAAATTAAGGGTTCAGAATCTAAATACAAAGTATCACCTGAAAGACTATGCCGAATGAACCCTGACCAACAACACGCTCTGCCATGTAACTTATGGTCTGAGGTACAAGTCAGGAAAAAAGAAACAACAATTATATTGAAGCGCAGAACCTCAAACAGAAACAATATATCATGTATTATAGTAAAGTGGAAACTTTATCGATGATATTAAAGGATGCCAGTGGATTCATGATTTACACTTTAGTTAGCAATCAAACAAAAATCATGAGGCACAAATCATCTAGGAAAGAATAAACTTCAATTTATTGGCAGTTTAAGACCTTCAAAACAATTTTATATGCTCTAACCATGCATTGACAAAATGACAGCTTGCTTCTTATCTAAGAATTAAGATCTGGAATTAGCTGAACTCAAAAAAACTTCAGAGTGTATCCAGGACTTGAACTCTGCACCACCTTCTTTGTGGGTGGCAAGAGATACCACTTGATGATGACGGCTGTTTCCTCTCGTATTTTTACTTCCCACAGTAATCAGTGTGAGTTTTTTCTTAATTTCAGTCTCACTTAGTTTTTGATTTTTTTTTTTTTCTCTTACAGAAAAAGGAAGATATGTAAGTCATGCAGGTATAGATGTTAGCTCGCCCATTCTAAATATAGCCAGAAGTGATCCAATGACAATAAGATAATCGGAAAAGTTACAAAAGAATCAAATAATTTTACATTATCTACCTGTTTGGGCTGACCGTTTCTACCACCAATAGTTGTTACAATAATGTGACCTGTTTCGGTTCCATTTCCATCCACAACTGTTGCTTCCATTTCCTATTCCAGAAAAATTACCAAGAAAAAAAAAATTGATCATGAAAGTGAGTTAATAGTAGATAGAAAACAGATAACAATTTTCAACAAGTTTCGAGAAGGCAACCTTTTCCATCCTGTCATCTCTTATCTTCATTTCATTGATTTCCTCTGGGAGCTTGTCAACAAACATTGTATTGTCACTAGGTTGTCCAATTGCTGAAGGCACCAGACCAGCTGAAGCCATATGTGGTGAACAGAAACAAAGGTGATATGTTTGCAATTGCTTTCAAGATACAATTAGTATCAAAGAGATTTAACTCCTCAACCTGAATGGGATGAGGGAAAAAAAAGGTTATGTGTTTGCAATTGCATATAGGACACAATTTTAATCAAAGAAATTTAGTTCATGAACCTGAAGGAAAATGAGAAAACTACAAATTAAACATCAAAAAACCATAGACTAGTCAAGAAGATGTGATTAAAAATTATCATTGGGCGTGAAGGTGGCATCACAGACAACCCAACAAAAATTCAGCATGTATGGCACAATTAGTTGGTCAGCTACTGCCTACTGGTTAAATTTAGGGATGGATATAGTTTTGGCAACGTGCTCAGTGCAAGTCCTTCAACCTCCTATTTGATATTTTCTGTAATAAGCATGTGCATTTAAAGACACAAGCATATATAAATAATTGATAATCTGTGGAGGAACCAAGGAGGAACCAACTCAGTCCCATGGTTATAATTAAATGCATCACTTAACATTCATAAAAATTCCTTAAAAAAAAATTATTATATTATTAATTATTAGAATGAAATGTGTATCGCAAACACGTGCAAAGAATAAATGTTAATAGTACTCTTAAATGTTATGGAACAATTAAAGAAATGGGGTCTCACCACCATTTAAGCTAATGCATTAATACAAGAGTGGGAATTTTCTCCTTTTGCCTCATGGTAGAGTTAGAATGCATAAGATAGATATTGTTAATGAATAATATAACTTACTGCTGAAAATATATGCACTATACATTTCCTTTTATTTTTTTAAAAAATAAAATTTGAAAAGCTTGACCTTCTTCACAAATAAAATCATCTCCAAGTAAGAAGGTGATGAATCATTTCCCTTGGAATAAACAGAAAAGCTTGACCTTCTTCACAAATAAAATCATCTCCAAGTAAGAAGGTGATGAATCATTTCCCTTGGAATAAACAGAAGATGCAGTCCAAAGTAGATAAATGTTACAGTCAAAAGTAGTTGAACTTTATGGTTACCAGCATAGTCTGTCATCAAGCAAATTAAAAGGCAAAATTTTTATGGTCAACTAAATGGAAGGTTAGCACAGTGATTGTGCGTACATATTTGCTACACAAACTCTATTTCAAAACTTTGCACTGACTACAGCACCTTCTACATGATGTCCTCTCCAGGACTCTTACCTCAACTCCATAGCAGAACCTCTATCAAATTCACTCCTTTCTCACCCAAGCATGCATGAGTAGCAAGCGGATCTTCAACCTAAATTTTTAAACTCATCAAATCCCCAATGATTTAGAGAAAAAATCAAACAAGTTTGTTGTAAGATGTAACCAGTCCAAAAGGAAACTCTGTTATTACAGATCAATTTTTAAGCCCCAAACTGTCCCGTGCTTGGGAGGGGGATGCTGATATTGACCCCACAATATGGCTATTGTTTGATTGGTGCATTGAGGCATCAGAGTGATAAAGATTGAGGGCAAGACCAAGACAGGATGCTCCAATAATCATATACACCAATTAGGCTGACAGCAAATATGTCAATTTCTGGTAAATTCTCTAATGAAGGAAGACTATCGTTAACATTCAAACAGGTTCAGCCCAAAAGGTAACAAAATATATCTCATTTATCATATGCTAACTAAATATTATATTTAAATTCTAATTATATAGGGTTTCCTGATACAGTTTTCCACAGATTACTCAACCATGTCCCAATAATAATGAAACTTCCACAGACATTGAATAAACTTTCGAGCCGCCCATTTCTCAGAATCTCTCACCAAACTACCCAAAACATACATTTTGAGAACCACAGAACATCCACCTTCCTTGAATCACAGTCACCGACACTCTTCACAACAAACCGAGCTAGATTCTCTCTTCCTTGCTTAACATCCCCCGTTTGCTTAATGAGAAAACACGAGAAAATAAAACTAAAATCTAAATATTGAACTTAAAAAATCCTGCTATTTTTTCTTTCAATGATAAATATCTCAGCTCATCTAAGCTAAATAGTTGGTTATCAAGTTCTGCTCAGGAGCTCGATCTTTCAGGTTCCATCTAAAAGAAAACATCTTCAACTTACTTCCATTTTCCTACATTTTCTCAGCACCAAAAACCTCACTAACATACACTACAACCAAAAAAATAATAATAACAAACAATACGAAGACGTACCTGCAACTGTAAATCTCACATTTTGCAGACTTCAAAGCTTGTGATCGTGCGAGTGTAGCTGGAACAGTGATCAAACCACAAAGCAAAGAAACCCTAAAAGGTTTTTAGAGACAGAGAAATAGAAGAGAGAAGGTAAAGTGAAATTGTACTACAAGTAGTTTCAGAGACCTTTATAACAATATTTGACCATCTGAGACTCTCTCTCTCTCTCGGATGCTCTGCGTTTTCTGATTCTGATTGAGCGTAGCGGACCCCGCCCGGTTTTATTACATTTTGCTTTGAGATTCCGGGTCGTACCCGATATTTTTGGTTGAGAGCGGTATAAGTACTGTAATTGATTGGTCATCACAGGCTGACGTCATGGTCATGGTGTTGACTGTGGTTTTGGCTCTCAAGGTGATGGGTATTCTGCTATGCGGTGGTGGTGTATGTGTTCGCTAGATGAAGACCGTTCGATGGCGTGTGAAGTTCAAGTGGAAATATATCCAATGGCTATTGAAGGATGATGGGATGATGATCCTGAGTAAGAACTAACTGCGGGGAGAGTTTGAATACTTCTCGGTTTTGTAATAAAATAAGCGTTGGGTGAAGCTTGGTACAAAACCCTAGCTTATTCATCCAATGAAAAATCGACACGCACATTGTTGAACAGGATTTCAATAAATTAACTGCCGAAAAAATGTATATTTTGTATTTTAAATTTTGTTTATAATTTTTACTAGTACAAAATTGCTAAAATCTCCCATTGTACCTCTTGGTTAATAGGTTGGAATTGGATCGTTATAGAAGTACTTTGAAGCTAACCAATTTTACTGGTCCTATGAAAATTGAAACAGAACTGAGCTGTGATGTCTTTATATAAGTTTTTATGTAAGTTTTTGGTATTTACATAGGTGAGTCTTTGTAAAGATGCACAGCGGCAGAGTCAGGATCTTGAAATTGGGGGGCTAAAATTATAAGTAACATTAGTTGCTACTTTCGGGAAGGAAAAAAAATATTACGTAGGCAAAAATATTTTACTATTTATTATATTCATATAAAAAAATATCTACTTAAACTTTTGTCAATTTATTTAAATAAAAAAATATAGTTATTTAAACAAGTTTTTTATCAAACTTTCTTAACAAACACCAATAAGATTTATGCCAAAATTTAATTAAACAATTAGATTTTAATTTATAAAAAAATAAGAAATTCATGTAATACTTGCACAAATTAATAATCATTACACAATATATCAATAAAAAAAACAAATTACAATAAATCAATTTTGACTAACTTAAATCAAAGAATATTGGCAACTAAAAAGAAAAAAAAAATAAAGAAAGTGATAGGAAATAATCAAGTATGAGATAGAATTTTAGAATAATAAGGTTATTGAAAGAATCTGATTGAGTTTGAAGGATTTTAAGATAATTACATTATGGAAAGAACTGTGTTTGAGTTTAAATTTTAAGATAGTCATATTAAATATATAAGTCAGTTTTTATTAGGATTCTATAGTAGTCATTTCAATCACTCTCCTTTAGATTATATATAAATTATCTTTTGTTAAATGCTAATTAAAGAAAGATTTTTTTTTTTTTTCTTTCTTAGGGGGGGGGGGCCAAGTATAGATTTTACAGCATACATGTTATATTATTTTTATTTTTACCTATACTAAAAAAATTCCCAAAAAATTAGGGGGGGCCATGGCCACCCCTAGCCCCCTTGGCTCCGCCCTGTAGATGCATTTTAAAAACTTCAAATACCAAAAAAGTATTCAAAACTATTTATGCTTCGTAATTTTTTGCTTTTGCTAATATATTGTAGTGAGACACGGATCTGTTGTCTGTCATTGCCTCCACTGATATTTTTTTGTTTAACAAATTTACATTTACAAGCAATCTTTGAAATAGTATTTAACACACTCTAAAATAAAAAAACACTACTTCTTCTTCGAGTCAAAATAAAAACGATTGTCAAACAGGACCTTGGAAAGAAGTTTTTAACAATTATGAGTAGATGGTTGGCATTTCAATGTAAAGCAAAAATATCTACCACCAGTCACTAATTATTTATAAATTATTTCATATTTTTCATGAGTTTTTGTTATAACATTTTTTGCCTTTGCCTCGCCTCGAATTCCTCCCCTCTTTATGCCGTTAAGCCAAAGACCTTTGATTCTTTCTCACACTTAATTTGTAAAACATCATGCACAATATACAATTCTGGTTTTTAAAAACACTCGACACCATGCTTCATATGAGAGATGAGTGTTTTTTTTTTGCTCTCAAATTGGGACTCACACACACTGTCTTTAATTAGGTTCGAATCCCTAACTTCCTTTTGGAAAGTAGTAGCCTTGTACCGCTTAGTCACAGACCTGTTGGTAAGATAGTTGGCTTATAATTGTCTTATAAAATCAATTGTTTTATAAAATCTTACTTTATGCTCCGTTTGGTTAGAGGGATATAAAAATAGATGGAAGAGAGAGGTGAAGGGACGAATAAGACATTCTTAAGGAAACAAAGGTGCCACCGGCTTCCGTCACTTTTTTTTTGATTGAAAGAAATGGATAATATAAATGATAGATAGAGTTGACACTTTTTTTTGTTTGCTTAGAAGATAGGGAAAATTAATTTTTATATTATTTTTATCAATATACCCTCGTTTAACTAGCAAAACTTTTAGGCTCAGTTTGTTAGAGTGAAAATGGGAGGAAAGGGAAGGGAAGGTGATGGAGGGTGATTAAAAAATTGTGTTTAGGTACAATTGGTGGAAGGAGAGGGAAGGATTTGGAGGGTTAACACAAGGCTTCTACAGTAAATTTCTTAACCTCCCAAAAATAGGCGGAAACGGAAGGAAAGGGAATGAGAGGCTTGGTGAGTGATTTCTTATGCCAAAATTGCCCTTGATTACACACAAAACCCATACGTACAAGTTAGCAGTTGCAGAGAGAGAGGGGGACAAGCTTGAGAGTTGAGAGAAAGAGGGCCGGCTTAAGCATACGAACGGCAAACCCGAATTGGAAGGGCGATGGAAACTGAAATTGGGTTTTGATATGGCTGAAATTGGGTTTTGATTTTTTAAACAATCTGAAATGATGCCGATATGGGTTTTGTAGTTTTGATTCTTGCAGACAAATATATAAACTAAAAGAAATGAGTTTTGAACTTCTGATTCTTGTATTTGCAGTTGCAGAGAGAGAGAGAATGAAAAAGGGCAAGTTCAGAGTTAAGACGAGAATAGGGATGGAGGCAAGGAGGCTAAAATGATTTGCCCTAAAATATTATATATATATATATTGCATACGTTTTGTTATAGGGTTTTTGTTTTTGTTTTTTTTTTTTTTACAAATATTACATACTTAAATTTATAAATTTTTCTTTTAAAAATTAAAAGGGTATAATAGTAAATTTACTAAAATACTTCCCTTTCCTATTTTTTTCCAAATATAATCATTATTCCTTCATTTATTTTATTTCGTTAACCAACCAAATACGGGGTTAAAATTATCCTTCCCTTCCTTTCCCTTTCCCTCTTCCTCAAAACTAATGTTATCCTCCCCCTTCAAGCCCATCGTACCAAACGTAACGTTAAGAAGGTTAAAGTATATTCTCTCTCCCTCCCCCAATTTTGGACTGATAGAAAAACACCAAATAAAGGGCCTTGTTTCAGACCATTAAACTTATTTGATAGTATTATTTTTTTATTTCTTTTTTGTATATGAATCAATTTTGTTCTATCTTACTCCAATCTTTTTTAGTAACATAATATATCATCTTTAAATCAGTTTGTGTTATTGGTTAAAAAGAAAAAAAAATGATTCTTTCTGAATATTCCATTGTTATTGTTACATTGTGATATCGGTTTTTTATGGTTGATTTAATTGTTCTTTAACTTAGAATCAACTAGAAAAAATCCTGAATGAATTAATATTAACAGAAATTGCAATTAAACAGTTAAACGATGCGTTTTAGAGTTCAGTCAGGTTTTCATTACTAGCTATCGCAATCATTTCAGCAATTTCAATTGTCCCTTTACATACATACACATACATATACACTTGCTAGGGTTTTTCTGTATCCCAACCTACTGAAACTGTATCAACCAAATTCTCGGTCTATTTTGCATTTCTTTACATTCAACTTCAATCAGGTTAGTTCCTTCTAAATCATCAGAAACTTTGCAGTTGATTTATAGGTATAAATTAGGTTGTTTATATGCGCGGTATGTCCTTAAATTTGTTTTGTTATCTGTTTTAGGTTGTATGAGCTTGGAAATCAATCAAGTTAGTTCCTTTTGAAACGTATGAAACTCTGCATTTGATTTATAGGTATAAACTAGGCTGTTTATATGTGTATATTAATAAATTTGTTTTGCTATCTATTTTAGGCTGTTTGAGCTTGGAAATTATGGGTTCCATTACTGGTGAGATTAACTTTACAAAAAGTGCAATGTTGGATGAAAGCAAGTTTGATGAGCATCTTAAATTGTGGGCACTTCGAATTCCTCGCGAACATTGCCAGGTTTCCACTCGGATATTGAAAGGGTATATCATGTCATGAATTCATTTAAAATATTTGAAGCTTTGTTCAAGATTTTATGGTTTTGTAATTTTTATCACACCCAGTATATCATAGAAATTCACACTACATTGCCCTAATGTGATTCAGATTCTAACTCTCTAATTAATTCGTTGATCCTAATACGATGAACCTTTATATATGTGCTTTAGAATTTATATCAAATTAAATTGTTGATGTTTATATTGGGAAATAATCAGAAATTGATTTTTCACTACTCGGGTACCATAAATTTAAGTATTGCTGTAATGAAGTTATTAGTATTTTGTTGGACTTTGTGTATGATAAAAAAATAGTAACAATTTTCTTGGACTTTGTGAATTGAGGTCCTGACTACCAATTTGAGCTGACATGAAATAGCTAATTTTTTTTTTTGCTCAATAAGGATGAAGAGTAGTTGGATAGGATGGTTTTTGTGTTATTTTGCATTTTGTTGATTTGGGTTTTTTGTTTTTCTTTGGGGGCGGCGGGGGTTGGAGGTGATGGTATTTCTCGAGTTGTCTGGATTTTTGGACAGATATGTTATAATTTTGTGGCTTATGTGAATTGTGATCTTGAGTTTTGAATTCAAATGGAGCACTAATCATGTCACGAAATAATAGCTTATCATTTGATGATTAGCTGGCCGCATGAATATGTACTTATTGGGTTTCTGAACTGGTTAAATTGTGAACTCTCACGGCTTACCGTTTGAAGTGTGTTTGCATAGGATGTGGAATACCACTAGAAGTATATAGTAAAATTGAACTTCCATCTCGCTTTCAGTCTTTTTCCATGAGATTCCTTGCTTATTTTATTTAGGCAACTCTAAATTTTCTGAAACTTTTGTTGCACCCTTGATCCATGAGATGTTTTTTCTTCTCTGTGAGATTTATTTAATAAACAAGAGATTTTTTTGCTTTCTGGAAGAAGAACTTGTCAAAATAGCTTTCACCTTACACTTATTTTATTTAGGCAACTCTAACTTTTCTGAAACTTTTGTTGCACCCTTGTTCCATGAGATGTTTTTTTCTTCTCTGTGAGATTTATTTAATAAACAAAAGATTTTTTCGATTTCTGGAAGAAGAACTTGTCAAAATAGCTTTCACCTTACGCTTATTTTGTCTTCTCAATTTATTAACCAGTGAACATTGGGTGGTCTGCTTTTTATCTGCAGATACTTGCTTGACAGACCCCACATCAAACCTATTGCTGAAGATCCAACATGTGAAAAAAATCGTTTTCTAATATTATCTGAAAAGGTTCAAAATACTGGTAAGAACTGTTAACAATTTTTGTTCCCCCACGGTACCTATAACTACCATCAAAATAGTGGTAAGAACTGTTAACAATCTTATAAGGTGGTTCCTTTATAATTACAACATTCCAATTCCATCATTTTTTTTGGGGGGAATATGATGTAATAGAAGAAAATAAATTAAAATATGATGTAATAGTGTAGTCAAATGTGCTTACCTTACTTCCATGAATATATTTACCTTTTACACAGATTTATCAGATATTCCAGGCCAAAAACTTGATGAATTAGAAGCACTATGCAAGATCGAAGTAGTTCCACATTCCTTGACTCTTGGATATTCCTGTTGGGGTGCAGGTGACTTGCTAAGCTTCCAATGAATTAAGTATTGGAAAAACCTTGGGGCATTTATTATAATGGAATACATTCTATTATTTATTTGTGTTATATTTCATTATTGGAAAACAGCACTCTTGCCCATTAATACATATGAATATTAGATTCACGTTTACACGAATGTATCATATTCTATTTCATCTTCTTAAATTGATGACACTTCAATTGTATTCAGATGTTGTGTTAACTGGATTTCCTGTCTCATTAATTTGATTATAGACCACGTGTTGAAGCAGATTCTTCCTTCTGGAGTTGAGGTACCTTCATCTTTTGAAACAATAGCTAAGAATTCTATTTATACTATTATTGCTTCAGCTTTTAATTTTGCCTTTCCCCCCTTCTATTTTAAACAGAAATACATTGCTACTTGGTTTCTACTTGCAACTTTCTTATCCCACTCACCTTCTTTTATTGTTAAAGACTGTACACTTTCAGTTTTCAACAATGAAAACCTCCATGTTTAATCAAATATGAAAGAGTGACATTGTTTCTAATTAATTCAGGTCACATTGCCCATCTAAATATTACCGATGAATTGCTTCCTTACAAGGATGTTATTGCGAAGGTTATTTATGATGTACGTCTTAATTAATTTCTGGCATCAATTTGTATTATGTTCCTGTTGAATTATTTATTTATTTTTTAATAAATAGCATTCTAATTTTTTTCTTTGTTATTCCCAGAAAAATCATCCCAGAATCAAAACAGTTTTTAATAAGGTTGGAAATATTACTAATGAGTTCTGTGTGCCAAAGTTCGAAATCCTGGCTGGAAAAGATGATATGATCACAGAAGTGAAGCAATACAGGGCAACTTTCAAGCTTGACTACAGCTTGGTCTATTGGAATTCAAGATTGGAACATGAACATAGAAGGCTGGTTTCTCAGTTCCGAGCAGGGGAGACCATTTGTGATATGTTTGCTGGCATCGGTCCATTTACTATTTCAGCAGCACAGAAAGGATGCCTAGTGTATGCAAATGACTTAAATCCCGACAGCGTTCGTTTTTTGAAGATTAATGCAGAAATTAACAATGTTAATGATCGTGTTTGTGCATATAATATGGATGCGAGGAAATTCATTTCTCAATTGATTTCAGTGCCTGCTTCTGAGACTAATCCAGAATTGAAGGTTCCTGTTCTCAAAGCTAGTGAGAATTGCACCGTACAGTCAAATGACGATACAAAGTCCGAGGACATAAAGCCTGCAGGTGTAATGTTTAGTTGATATACACTCCTGTGAAGCATTCCCATTCAGTTTATTTTTTATATCCCTTGCAGGTGAGGCAGAAGAAATAACAGGTAACAGTTTAAGCGATCTGGAGGGTGTTGAAGGCTCGTGTATGAATGTGGATGCAAGGGCAACTGCAGTCAAAAGATGTTCCAGAAGTTGTCAGGAAGGTATGATTAGCATCACAATGAGGCATCACTGGCAACACTAAATTACATACTTGCGTGCAGTGGTTCTATTTATTTGATGTTTCAGCATCTTGAATGCAAATATGAACCATACATGGTTATCTTGTAAATTTCAGTATCCCGTTAGCTGTATTGGTTCCTCTACAGTTTCTGCTGGAGAAGTTAGACGAGCTAATGGAGCTGTTGTTTGTGTAGCTGGTAGGGTAAAAGGAGGCACAATTAAGCAAATGAGAGGCTTCGAAGCATTTGATGCTAGGCTTTGGGAGCATGTTGATCACTTTATTATGAATTTACCTGCTTCTGCTCTACAATTTCTTGGTAAATGAATTGCCTTCTTTCTCCATGGTTATTTGATTGTTTATCCAGCTAAAGTCATTTTAATTTAATTATATACCTTATAGTCCTTGTATTTAAAACTAACTGTTAGAGGACGAAATTTTTGATCTCTTATGGTTTCCTTTAGTAATGTATAATCAAAATCAACTATTTACAACTTAAGCATAACCCCCCTCCCCAAAAGAAAAAATTAAAAAGAATAATAAAAGAGAAGAAAGAGGAGACTCTCTTCCATTAATGTGAAATGGGTTTCCTTCCATGATCTCTTTAGGCCGTTAAGTTGAGCTCTTATGCTATTCTATTTGGCCAAATATCCACTAAAAAAAACTTGACAAATATCTAAGCTTGCTGTTAATTAATCTGACTATAAGAGATTTTCTTGTCTCGATTTTATCTTTTTCTTCATTCTTTCTTTTGTTGGCCAATAAATGATGAGATAAGAAATAAAAAATTGGATTTTCTTCTTTAGATGCATTTAGAGGCCTTATCCAGAGGAGATATTGGAAGGGTCCTTTACCTTGGATTCACTGCTATTGCTTCATGCGATCCAGTGAGACAAAAGAACTGATAATTTCAGTAAGTTCTTTGCACAAACTTGTTACTTTTTTCTGTCTCTTTTTTATTGGTTTTCCTGAAATATTTTACTAGGTATATTACTTAATACTATCTAACGCATGTTATTTGAGATATCTTTACTAAAGATTGTTGCCTTTCCACATAAAGGAGAATAAGGGAGCTGATGGTTCACATAGTTTGTGTAGTTCACTTTTACAAGAACTATTTCAGACCTGTATTTCTGTCTCTTGTTCCATTCATTAAGGGCAAAAAGTGCTATGAAACTGCTATAATTTGGTAAGAGTCAATATAATGAGTAGTTCCAACTTTCAAGTTTCCAAAATACAATTGGTACAGGATGACAGTGATACATAGGACACATTTAAGCTTTGCTTTTTGTTCTTCTCTGGACTTGTCATTTTGGGCACTGATACTAGCATATGATGTTTCAGAATTATGAGACTTTTATGTAAAGAACATAATTTCATCGTTATGAAGAATAGTAGCTTCTGGAGAAATCCTTTAAAATTGGATCCCCAAGTGAAACGTCTGAATGCTCACTACTTGAGCATTATAGAATAAACTTTTGTTTACGGAGTCCTCCTTGATCAATCCATAAGATTGAAGTTAAAACTAAGTGCACCATTGGCTTCTCGGAAAAGGTTGAAGAAAATGGTTTCTTCCATAATAAAATTATACTACTGTAGAAATCAAATTATCAATGGGCGGCCAACTGAAGCTTGCAATTTAACTCCACAAGTGAAGCTGATATGTAATAGTTGGACATTTAGGTAAGTTAAAAAAATTGAGACATGAAAGATCTCTTGCATAGTTTTAGATTTCTTATAGTGGATGAAAGTATGAGACCTTACGCTATGTTGATCCCTCTGTTAGTAATGTTTCTGGAGGGTAAAACCCCAAATGGATAGCACAGACTTTCTTATTCACTCTTGACTTGGTGATGGTTTAGGCTTGAAACAATTTGGTTTCTTTTATCTTTAGCTTGTTGATGTTGGGTCCCTATTGTAGAAAAGTATATTTCTTTTGCTGCGTTCAGCATTGTTAGGTTCCCTGTAAACCAAACGGCGTCAAACCTTTACTCTTTCACGTCAAGTACTCTTTTGCCGTACATTGTAACATAAGATGCTGTCATAAACTATTTTGCAGGAGGCAGAGTGTACCTTGAATGCTAGTATACGCGATCCAATATTTCATAGGGTTAGAGATGTTGCTCCAAACAAGGTATGTACTTGCATTTTTCCTCCTCCTCTTTTTTTTTTTTTAACTTCGCCCTACCATGCAGGCAATGTTTTGTTTAAGCTTTAGGTTGCCGGAGGAGGCGTGCTTCGATGAAGACATGACCAATGGTATCCTCTCTGCTGATGGGGAGTCATAAGCAGTGGTTGGCCATGTGACCATATTCTATTTTTGTGCTTGAAGTTGATAGTTTAGTTCAGTGTTTCAGAGCGTACCTCATTCCTCTCTATCACATTTATCTATTTTTGTCGATGGTAAATTTCTGTTTATTCACTTAGTGTTTTTTTTAAAGCCTTCTAATGTATGTTTAGTCTGCGTGGGTGTTAATTATTTGTTTGTTTTTATAAATATTGGCGAGAAATTCGTACCTCCACTTTATTCCTCTTAGGATTTGAACCTCGACCTTTTACTTTAGAATGTAAGAAGATGCACTATGTTGGAGCCTTTAATAAATATTTAATTCAATGCAAATTAATATAATCTAAAAGCACATACAAAAGAACCTACGGTGGTAAACAAACACTGTACTGTCTAGGTGCACCTAATTCTCTTCAATTTCGTTCCACCCAAAAGATTTGAGAAAGAAGAGGAAAAGGAAAAGAAAGTTTTGAAAGGGAAGTTCAAGTACCATTCTCTTTCTATTACTTTTCTAAAACGTTTTCGAAAGGGAAGAACTTTAATTAGTAGGGAGGAGGGTCAAATTTACTGAATTTTAAAGGAGAGATTATTATTTTCCGTCTCGTGACCATTAAATTAAATATAATGAAGCAATCTCACCGTTTGACCAGAATTCACTCTCGACTAAGAGCCTCTAGAACAAGAGGAAAAACTTCATACACGGGAAATAATGACGTAATTCCAAGAAAAGGACAGTTTGATTCGATGAATCTGTAACCTATTAACAGCCAAAAAGTGTTGAACGTTTTTACATCAAATCCTCCATGAGATGGTGACTGAAAATCTAAAACAAGGAAAATTATTTCTCTGAGACAAGATTGTGTGTTACTCACCACGGAATTCAAGTCCGTGAAGGTATGTATAAGCTTTCATGTCTTTTTTTTAGGTTTCAACTTGAAAAATCAATCAATAAATAAAAAAAACAGATATAATCATTAGTGATTAATTATTCCAGCCTACAATTGCTGCGAGAAAAAGCATTGCTTAAAAACAAAAATTGTCAGCCTATTGAGAATGTAAACAAAAATTATAAAAATTATTTTTTATTTCACTCAAAACTGAAAACTCAGCCCCTCCGAAAAGAAAGGAGAGCTTATATCATCTACCTTAGCTCGTATTGGTTTAACATGGTTCGTTATTTGATATAAATGGTGCAAAAGTAGGTGAAATAATAGCAAAAACAAGAAGAATGGAAGAGGTACATCTAGATTTTAGATTCTAAAAAGAGAGAAACAATTTTGCACAAGCAAGCAGGAAGAGGGTAAAAAAAAAAAAAAATAATAATAATAATAAAATAAAAATAATAAAAAATAGACCAACAGGACAACTTCAGTGATAAAGATGTACCCTCACCTCACCAGGGGAGGAGATTAAGAGTTGAGTTCCATCCTGAATTTATTAGTGTCACTTTTAGTAAAAAAATTTAATAGTTATTCAGGACATGTATTTGATGATAAATTATAAAGGTGATTTAAATGGTCCAACAACATAACAAAGATGTCAGGATGATGAAAGATGCTTCGCTCTCCCTTTTGGTGCCCATTATTTTTTCCTCCTATTCTAATTTTCTCCATTTGCCACTGTAGCTTAGAATTTAATCAGCCCATTTTTTCCTCCTATTCTCATTTTCTCCATTTGCCACTGTAGCTTAGAATTTAATCACTACAAGTCCGTAATTTTAGCGGAAATGTAAAAAAACATCATTTGGAAACTTAGATGAACAAGGTTGGTTGACGCAAAAAAAAAAAACTTGTTTAGTGTCCAAAAGTCTCAGTTCAGACACAAAAAATTATTATTCTATGCAGTGTATACTTTATACACAAAAAAAGCTACATAGCTTTTGACAAACCATCCATGTAGAAAATATTATTATGTGTGTGATGATAAAAAGATTGTGTGTGAAAGCAACCACAGTATATAATGCGAAATTTACGGAATCCCACACTATAATAAACTATTATAAGGAGAATTTAATTTGTTTTATTACATGTTTATTTAACAGTAGTATTAGATTTGATTAATAATTATGATAAAGAAATCTTGGTTATTATTACCTTTTTTTATTTTATTTTTTTATACCGGATTTGGACTTTTAGTTACTTCCTTTTATATAGTTTTTACTGGATTGAAGCCAATTATCCCAAAAGGCAAGGCATGGAATCTGGAAAAACTGCTATAACGGTATTTCAACTATCCACATTCTACAACATTTGAAAACGACATTCACATGTATATGTGTATATATATATATAACTATCACATGAAAGAAAGACTCTAGTAATGTAGAGCTAGGGTGGTCCATTTTCTATGCCCTATATCTTTTTGTCTTCACATTCGAAGAAAGACTAGTTTGTTCCATTTTCTATGCCCTATATTTGCCTTCACATTATAGAAATATATCTCTCGCGTATCTTCTTTATTCCTTGTTTATCATTAAGTTTTGCGGTGTGTTCTCACTCAGATCCTTCGGTATAATTTAGATTTTTGTTATTTTTGCGCTCTGGTATTCTATCTTATTCCCATTTTATTTGACTTAAAAAATGAATAATATTTTATATAAGTTTAATGACATTAATTTTATTACTAACCTCAACATGATGTCATATTCTCCTCACATCTAACTCTTCTATATACTCCTATATACTCCATATACCATACACATAGATCATGGTACGCATTATCGGTCACGGTCACGGTCGCGGTGTAACGGATTTGGACAAAGTCAGTATAAACTGATTAATACGAGTCGTGTATCGAGCTTAAAAAAAAATCGTGTATCGAACCATACGACAAATCATGACATAGATCAATACATATAAACAGTCAAAAATAAAAGAAAGAGTGTGTTAAGCAGCATAGAGACTAGAGAGACTATAAAAAAGGGAGAAAAAGAGGGTGTACAAAAGTAGAGTGATATGGTTAAAGGCTAAAAATTCTAAATTAGTCTTAGGATACTGTATTTTCGGGTATTCTAAGTGATTATAGAACTCATTTGATGAATAATTCAAAGATTACAAGAGTCCGAGAATATGATACCCAATTGTAGAACTTCACAATAAAATGAGCCAGAATTATTTTAATAAAGTATTCATTGAATCATTTTCCTTGTCATTTGATATACACATATTTGTCATTACATTATATGTAAGAGTATATGAATCTATCTATCTCTATTTGTCAAAGATCCTGCCGTGTCCTTTGCCGCTTTCAATGCATTTCTTAGTCACCATGTGCATGAATGAACATCTCCACCATCTTCTCAATCACATGTGTAACACTCAAAATAATACTAGAATCATCAAAATATATTTTAAGATTAATTATTAATGGAAAATTTTGATATTCAAGTGTAGTGACCATGCACGACCCTTTATAGATAATGTAAATGAGTTGTTAGATTATACTGTATATAATTATATATATTCATGCACAAAGCCAACCCATTTTTGCACGAAGTCTTGTGTCTAACTTTGCTTAATTGAAAATTGATATAACCATGATATACAAAGGCCGCTCAATAAATATAATTTAAAGTTTTAGGCCAAAAATCTATAAATGGGTCTTTTATATCAAATAATAGTTAATGCTTTTTATTTTAAAATTACCCTTATTCAAAAAATCCTAAACCCATTTAATTATTATTATTATTTTTTCGGGTAGCTTCTGAATTAATGTCACCCAAGTAGAAATTTATTATTATTATTTAGATTGAAAACAAAATAGTAATTTCAAATCCTTTGGATTATTACGTTGACCACACACAAAGTATTATAGGGCCTACTATTAATACATGCTATTGAGTGGAACCAGGTATATAAGATGAATTAAATTTTTATGAGTCCATTAATACTAATAGGCCTACTTGATTCAAATTATTTTAATTGAGGAGAGTTCATGTTAAACAGATTTATTACGCGCGCGCGCACACACATATAGATCACTATGAGGCAACTGAGCTCAAAAAGTCTTTTAACTTCACTTGACTTCATTAATTTGTAATAGCTAAAAATGAATAAAATTATTTTTTTTTAAAAAAATTATTGCATAATTTGATTTTTGATCAGTTTATTCCAATATTAATTTATTTTATGATCATCTTAGACCTCCATGGGCTAGCCTTGCCAACTTTATTTGATTAATCTGCGACGTGGAAACTTATATGGTTAATAAATTTAATGTTTTAATTAATTTCTATATTATAATTTGTATGACATTGTTCGATAATTCCCATCACCTATGCCACTATTGCTCTATATATTATAACATTTTCATAGCAACTACAATAACTCGTAAACAAAGAAATTATCAAGTACTTCTACATAATACCAACATATATAAGCGTATATACTCACGTCTCACAAGTCACAAGTGCCCGTCTTGGCTGGTTATATAGCTAATAGCTTATTAATTAGTCACAATGAATTGATTATGCATATATATATATATATAATTGATTACTATAAAATAAGAAGGAAATTTAATAGTTGAACTGTATGGCCTATGTGTGAACAGTGCCACGAGTCTCTATATAAACTCATCATCCTCACCTTTCTTTAACAATCCAGAATAAGCACTTTCTCTCTCTCTCTCTCTCTCTCACACACACACACACACAATGATGAAAATGTTGAGTCAAAAATGTCCTACATTAGTAGTTATGCTCATTGTGTTGCTTGTGTGGTCTTCTAGCAATGCAATTATTTGCAGTGCTAGCTCTAGAAGAAGCAAACAATGGAGGCAAAGCATTGCCTTTCCGTCTAACCAGAAAGGAAGGCGTTTGGCAGCGGAGCTACAACAGAATGCTGCTAACTCTGCCATCTTTAATGTGTTGGACTATGGTGCTAAAGGTGACGGAAAATCTGATGACACAAAGGTAATTTCAGAATTTCAATTTTTGCCATAATGTTCATGGGCTTCATTCTGTTATTATTTTTATTTATTTGTATTCCCTGTTTGGTAAGGTGTATTGTACTTCTACATATTTAGTTTGTTGTGAAGAACTGGAAGGAAAAGAAAAAAGAAAAAAGAAAAAGTAAAAAAAAAAAGGAGTTTTCTGAGGGCCTACCATAAAGTTTCATTTGTTCTAAAGTGAGGGAAGAGTGAAGGAATAAAACGTTGTCTTCATTAATTATTTTCTTCCATTTTGGTCCAATTTTAGGAAATAAAAAGTAAGTTTTCTTTTCTTAGACTAACCTTTTCCATCCCTTCTTCCTATCCTCTGTCCATAATATTTTCATTCCTGCAACCAAACAAGAGGAGTAATGCTTTTGAAAAACAATGCATATACTTTTTACTTTTGGAAAAAGTACTCCCCATATTGCACGGTTTGCACCATAAGTCAAGTCTCAAAGAGCATAAGTATATTCTGATTATGCTACAACTTTAAGAATTAATTTTGAGTATTTCCAAACAGTATGGGACCTTTTTACCCCCCTAAGCAACATTATTCGACTTCATTCAGAGGTTATTAATTTACAGTTATTTAACTAATTTTGTTTTCATCAGAGGACATATGCATGTATTATGTACAATTGAAGCTAAATTACTTTCCATAGAGAGGTAAGAATTGCCTCCAAGACACCTTAGCTAATATTGGTAAAAAAAAAAAGCTACCCAGTGCATGAGACTCTCGCTATTGCAGGGTTTGAAAAGAGTCAATGTATGCCGTCTTACTTCTGTATGTAAAGAGACACGTTTAGAGTTCATTCAAGGCTCTATTACTGCAAAATTTCAAAAATGACTAATATGTTACAATACATGGCAGGCATTTGAAGCAGCATGGGCAGCTGCTTGCAAGGTGGAGGCATCAACAATGGTAGTGCCTTCTGGATCCGTGTTCTTTGTCAAACCGATCTCTTTCTCAGGCCCCAATTGTCAACCAAAGATTGTATTTCAGGTTAATTTCACATCAACAACTCCATTTTTTAGTACCTAAATGACTATATAGTTATCAACCTTGTAACACTCCTAGGAACTTATATACTGTGGGTAAATTAATTTATCTATCCACATTATTTGATAGAGATGTTTTGATATTATTTTTCAGTGTGATCAGTATCGGATTTGAACTTACATGCTCATTTTTTCGTGTTGTCTTGCAGTTGGATGGCAAGATTATTGCGCCTAAAGACTCGGGATCTTGGGGATCAGGTCTGTTACAGTGGCTTGAATTCACAAAGCTCACAGGAATTACAATTAGAGGGAAAGGTATAATTGATGGCCAAGGCTCAGTTTGGTACAACCCCACAGCCAAAATGCCAAGCACCAAGCCAACAGTGAGTACCTCTTACACTGAACTACTTGCATTCACACATTTCACAATCTTGACTAAACATTGAAAACTTGAAACTAAGAATTTCATATTGTGTCTATTTGGCTTGCAGGCACTCAGGTTCTACGGGAGCTCTGATGTAACAGTAACCGGCTTAACAATTCAAAACAGTCCCCAGACACACCTCAAGTTTGATGATTGCACAAATGTTCAGGTTTTCAGCATGAGTGTTTCATCCCCTGGCGATAGCCCCAACACGGATGGAATTCACCTGCAGAACTCCAAAGATGTGGTGATACACGACGTTAAACTTGCTTCCGGTAATTCCTAGTGTTAGAAGAAATAATAGCCTTTTTTCTTTGGGATCTGAAACACAATAGTCAAATTTTCTGAGCTAAACTGCCAATTGCTCATTTCATTAGGTTCTTACCATAATGTGGTCACTTCTCTCTATGTCTGCTCTTCCTATTGTTATGCTTCTCTACTTGAGCATATTAGAATTCAATTTAGCAGGGGAAGATCCCCAAGAAATAAGATTACTGTTTTTTGAAAGTTAAAGTAAACACGTGCACACTCACAGTATTGTCCATAACAGGACTCGAACACTCAACCCTTTCTTGGGAGGAGAAATATGAGCTACTGATATGTAATTGTATGGCAATAAATATTGCAGGAGATGACTGTGTCTCCATACAAACTGGATGCTCAGGCATATTCATACACAATGTGAATTGTGGACCGGGACATGGAATCAGCATTGGAGGGCTAGGGAAGGACAACTCCAAAGCCTGTGTATCAAATGTTACTGTCCGAGACTCCACAATTAGCAACACAATGACTGGTGTCAGAATCAAGACATGGCAGGTAAAAATGAATTCCTTTCCCTCAATTGACTGTTGAAGATAAAGGGTATGCTTGGTTCAATATTCTGTTTCCGGAGAATTGAAAATCAGAAAAGTTTACAAAGATCTGGTTGATTGACCGTTTCTGAAAATTGTTTATGAGAACTCTGTTTTTTTTTTTTTTTTATTATTTAAAAAAAAGGGTTTTTTTTTTTTTTTTTTTTTTTTTTTTTTTTTTTTTTTGTGACAGATCTCTGATTCTCTTTTCTGAATTCTTGAGTATAGTTTTGGAGTGACAAACGAATTAGGCCCTAATTGTCTTACAAAACTCATTTGTATTCAACTGCAGGGTGGCTCAGGCTCAGTGCAAGGAATCATGTTCTCAAATATCCAACTTTCTGAAGTAAAAACTGCTATTATGATTGATCAATTCTACTGCGACGGAAGCAAATGCAGTAATAAAACATCAGCTGTGGCTGTATCAGGCATAACATATCGGAACATAAAAGGGACTTACACAGAAAATCCAGTGCACTTCGCGTGTAGTGACAGCTTGCCGTGCACTGGTGTTATTCTAAATACCATAGAGCTTAAAGCAGTACAAGAAAGCAATCCCTTGAGCAATCCTTTCTGTTGGAAGACATATGGAGAATTACAAACATCGACCGTCCCTCCAATTGACTGTTTGCAGTCAGGCAAGCTAGCCAAACAACAAAGTTCAGCTCAATGCTGATTCCTGCTGAACCTAGCTTAGGGTAATCAATACATAAATGGGGTTATGCATATTTTTGGACTCCAACATACTATATACATTATTCTAGTTGTGTAATGTAGGTGATACTAGTCTAAAGGAGATTTTTGTTGCCTTTAGGACTACTTGTTTCCTAGGGTTGCAGAAGTTTCTATTGTAAAAGAGAATGCGGACTCCAATCATATCAGAGAACTCATTCTCCATTTCTGTTTTGTATGTAAGGGGGCATGCCTCCTTTTAGTTTTGTACTTCCATGAGTCCTAATACACAGTTCGAAAGTTGTACCTATCCGATTGAATTTATGTGGATTCACATAAATGCAGTCAGAGACGTATGACTTTCAAACAAGTACTCATTAAGTTTTTATATTTAATGAAAACATCCATTCAGGGAAAATAAATTATGTCCTAGAACTCTAGATCATATTTATAGAATTCCATTTGAATGGTTTTTTAACTTTTTATTATTAGGAATATTCGCAGGTGCTGCTCATCTACATGACAGAAATTAGTTTCCCTAGAAAAGAAAATAGATTTTCCCGTGGATTGTGAATGTCTTTGTCAAGAAATATGAGCAGATGAATTTTATTAAATACCAACGGATCACAGGAACTCATAGAAACTAGTTTAGAATCTCTAGAGCTACATTCACAAAAACAATTTTCTTACACACACACACACCTCTCTCTCTCTCTCTCTCTCTCTCTCTATATATATATATATATAAAAGCACATATACATATTATTCCATGCATATGAACACACATACATTTTAACAAGGTATATATCAGAAATGTTATTCAGGTTCTATTTTCTTTGCAATTTGAAAATTCAGTGACAGTGACACTTGAACATGCCTTAAAATAACTAGCATGAACATGGCATGCATCATACAACCAAAGTTATTCAAGTACGAGGATGATGTGAATTTAGGGTGACTAGTCACAGCCTATTAAACTAAAAATATGTATTCAGCAAATATATATCTTTATAATATATTATTTTTCATCCCAATGCTGTTGCAAAAATTAAATGTTCACCAGATGATCAATTGGTCTAGCGATATCACCTCTTCCTTTTCGAAAAGAAAAGTCGGGGTCCCTAAACATGGTTCGTTTTTCAATTATCATGTCCACAGTAATTTCAATAGAAAAGTCCCATGATCGGAATTTTATGGTTTTAATCAGCATCCATAGATAAAATGGAAAATAGATAAACGAACATATATAAATGATCAAATTGGTGCTGGAACACCAATGAAGAAATGCCATACAAGTTAAATAAAGAGCTGAGCTTATTTATCATGATCATAAGAACGTCAAAAAGCTTAGCAATAAATTTCTATATCTATGACTTGCATTTGGTGTGCCTTTGTATTGATGGGTTTTGAAAATCGTAAGTACAGAAAATGTGCAAAGCATATAATATTTAGAACCGATTCTAACACCAATTCTCCGAAAATGGAAGGTTTGAGTTCCAGCACACTTGATAAACAATTTATTTTGAATATTGGTGTAAAAATAACAATTTAGGTGGTGTGCATTTGATGCATATGAATAAATTTTAGGGGTGAAAGAGTATTTTACCCTTCATTTTTATTAAATGTTTTTATCTTTTTTTTTCTTTCATTTGCAATAAAAGATAAACAAAATGTACTTAATTTTTGTCAGGTCTTTAAATAACGAAGAGAGAGAGGAGAGATTCACATCACTCGATAAACGCGTCTCTCTCTGCGCCTGTCTTTCGATTTGTTCCATCTTCGAAGTCTTCGAGAGGTAAGTCTTCTTTCTATCTGACGCTATCGCATCGATTCAAGCTATATATATATATACATATATACACAAATATTTATACATAGAAAAAGTGTAGTTGTGTGTGATTTGTAAATCTAACGCAGATCTTTGTTGATCTCTCTATTTGTTGCGCTGCGATCTCTGTTGATCTCAACAGGTAGGATCTATGAAATATGAATCTGATACCTATATAGGCTATATTGATATATACATATACATACACAAACATGTACATCGGTATCCTGTTACACGCGTTTGAATCAATTGCTTGTCTTTCACGAAGATTCGTCGTTACGAACTTTCTTTGGTTCGATCTGAGTTCTCGATTTCATGTGTTTTACGTTTATTGGATGAAATATAACGCTTTTGGGAACCATATGTTGAAGACTTAATGGATCTGCGGAATGCAATGTTAAATGATTTTTATCAAGAGAAATGCTTTGATGTGATTTTGCCAGGAAAAAGATTTAATTTTTAACGAGGTTCTGAGGTATATACATACACACACATGTAATCGATTCGGATGTTGATTTTAGGGGTTTTCTTTCAGTTTCTTTGTGACGATTATGGCTTTGTCTAGCTCTGTTTTGGTTATGTTCTATGTATATTTTACTGGTGCTTCACAGCTCAAATAATGCCTAATGCTACCGTTTGTATTTGCCTGATTTGCTACTTGTGTCGTTATCAACTCATCCTTCTTGTTGTCGTCATCATTATTGTCGTGACCATTGTTCTTATTGTCTACATCATCATCATGATCATTATTATTTTGATGGTAATGAAGATAATGAAATTTGTTCTTATGTTGTGGTGCTTTGATTTGTTAGTTTTTCTTCTAATGTAAGTGCCAATGTCTACATTTGAGTTTTTTTAATGCTGTTATTTTATATATCAGTACCGTGTTTTGCAGCCAACTTAACTGAAACAGGGATGGGGCTGACCTTCACAAAGCTGTTCAGCAGGCTTTTTGCCAAGAAAGAGATGCGAATTCTGATGGTAGGTCTTGATGCTGCTGGTAAGACTACTATTTTGTACAAGCTCAAGCTTGGAGAAATTGTCACAACAATCCCAACTATTGGTGAGTCCTGGCTCCTGATTGAAGGCATTAATAAATTACAGTTTCTTCATTGTAAATTGTTAGTTAGTGGTACTATTGGATTGAGTTATTTCTCAATCATATTGCATCTTCCAAATTTCTGAAGTTCTCCATTACAAAAGTATAAATGACATCAGTTGCATGTTGGTTGGTTTATTATTGTATGTACCTTTACCTCTCTCTTCTTCTTTTTTTTTTTTCAAATAGATCTTTCAATAGTACCTGTACAAATCAGGACTTCTTTGAGTAGAAAATACACGTTTTTAGTTAAATGTAATGGGTAAAGTTCTTTTGAAAATGTTCTCACTGCATGCACTTTTTAAAAAATTTAAAGGAAGCTATGGAATATATTGGACGATACCACTAGGAAAAAAGAGAAAGTAACTTAATGCCTGGAAATGAAAGATAGGAATAATGGATCAACCAAATGGTCCTCACAATGAGTGATTTAGCAGCTTTCTTATATTGATTGGGGATAGGGGTGGTAAAACTGAAGGAAGACTTTGGTTGATTAACTTGGATACCTTTTATATTTGATAAAGTATGATGATTTGAATTCAGCTAATAACTTATTGTATATAGGCAGGGGAATAATAGATGCTGTATTTGAAATGTTGGAGTATTTTGGGTTGTTCTTTGGTAATCTCATAAGACAAGGCTAAATCAATGAAGTTGGTAAATGTTATTGTTTAATACCATCATAGCCTATTTCGTGTTTTTCTAAATGCTTTTAGTTATAAATCTTACTAGTTTACCTGTCTTGGTGACTTTGGGTCTTAACTTTCAGGCCATAGGTCAAAAATCTTATTTATATTATATGTAAAAATATTTAAAGGAGTCGCTTGTTACAGGATTTAATGTGGAGACCGTGGAATATAAGAACATTAGCTTCACTGTTTGGGATGTAGGGGGTCAGGACAAGGTATGCATTTTTCTTCTTTTTCTCTTTTCCAGATAAAATTTTCCATTTCTATTCCATATACTGTGGATTTGATTGTTCACATAATCTTTTATGCATTTTGTTAAATTCATTTCTTGCTCTAACTAAGATAAGCAAAACATAGTGGGTCAAAGGATGATTTGACAGTTGGCATTTTTTTGAATAACGGACTTACCTTTCATAGTATTTGGAATTATTGGAGGAAAATTATAGAAGAATTTGAGTCACACCTTCTCCGGGAATGTTATTTTGTCGTCATAGAATTATTGGAAAGCTTCCAGAATGTATCGAATTCTTGGCATGCTTTGGTCTTTTTTGTTTGATGATATAGTTGTGAACTCTTAATGTTTTTTTTTATAAATATTTTAAAAATGTGGTTACAATGCAAAGTGGAGTTTGACATGGTGAATTTCACAAATCTGCAGCCTGGATCATGCAGATATATTCCTGTTTTATTTGTATTATGTATCTTGACTGTAGGATATGTTGCATACCATCCTTAGTATATTCTTTTAAATGTGTCTTTTGGCATTAATGCATCAGGGTATCAAGTTATATAGAAAGTGTCATATATAATACTTCCTATGGCAGAAAAAGCATTAAATATTGTTCAGTTATTTGTTTGCATGTTTTTGAAGTATTGGCATGCTTCCATTTAATCATTCGAATAGGTAGGCTAGATATATCATGGATATATTCCTGCATGCGGGATTTCTGCCCATGTTGTCATAAACATAAATTGGAAGGGGTCCTATATCTTGTGGCACATGCTGTGATTTGTTCATGGGGCATAATTGTTTTGTTAGGAGTTTTTGGAATTTTTGAGTCATTTTAAAGAGTTGCCAATGTAGTTTCTTTCCCACACAGATTCGTCCATTGTGGAGGCATTACTTCCAAAACACTCAGGGTCTCATATTTGTAGTGGATAGCAATGACAGGGATCGAGTTGTTGAGGCAAGGGATGAGCTGCATAGGATGCTGAACGAGGTACAATACTTGACATGTTTTCTTTCCTTTCATTCTGCTTTTCATGTTATGAATTTTGGAATTTGTGTTGTAATAAATACTACTTGGCACATTCAGTAATGTATAGATGGCTGTATTTTTCTTTGCAATATGACTGTTCTTCCGAATTGTTTGGTAACTGTTGCTGTTGCCATCCCTGAGATTTGTTTCTTTGAATATATTCTTATTTGTGTTGAATTGGCTTGCTCTTCTGTATACAGCTTGTTCCTAGGCACAATTTCTGTGATCTTTGATGTGATTTGCACTGAGAGAACTTTTTAGTTACTTCTGGAGTATTCCCCCGTGTATTCACTTGTTCAATGTAATTTCTAGTGTTTCTTGTTGGTTTCATGTACCTTTTCTCCTTCAAAAGATGCATTTGAGCGCAATTTGATTGCTTTGGTTTTACTTTCTAGTGAATTGTAATAGAATTGTTCAAAATATTGGTATGGGACGTTCTATTATGCCTTTTAATTCTTTTAAATGTTACGCTGCATGGGGAAAAATTCAAGCAACATTTATGATCTTCAATGAAGTAATTGAATTTGAGAAAAGTGCAATGAAAGAGAAGTTTCTCTGGAATTTCCCCCACAATTCTGGTTGTCTTCTCGTTTTTTCTCTTATTGCCAATAAATAACTACATATGAGCAGCAAAACTTCATCACTTGACAAAAAATAAGGAGAGCTGTAGAACTTCATTTTTTTCATGTCTTTTATATTTGTTATCAATACTTATATGTTAACTGAGGCTTTGTTTTCCCCTCCAACTTGGTATTTACTCTAAGCAGCATCTATATACATACGTTCCTAACATCTTAAATTTTTAATAGCCATAATCATGAATGAAAGTCACGCGGGGATATTGTAGTTGTATTAGAGAAAGTTACTTTTATCTGTCATTTCCAATCTACGTTTTTCTCTCTTCCCTCCCAGAACTTCCTTGTGTATGGGCTATGATTGTCTGCGGCACCGTCTTGTTAGGATTAAACCTTATTACCTATTTTAAGGCTTTTCTGAATTTATTTATTATCTCCATTAGCGGAAACTAGTTATTTTAATTGTCGTCTGTTTCATGCTGGTCAAGTTGGATAAAAGAATCTTAACTGGAATCTTTTTGTATAATTGTTTGAATTGTTTGTGTCAATCTGTTTCAGGATGAACTCAGAGATGCTGTTTTGCTTGTATTTGCTAACAAACAAGATCTGCCTAATGCAATGAACGCTGCGGAGATAACTGACAAGCTTGGTCTTCACTCACTCCGCCAACGCCACTGGTAAAGTTTCCTTTTTGGTTTTTTAACTGGCATGTTCACGAGAAGCATTGAATTGTTACAATCATTTTGGTTCAATTGGACAATTCTGGAACTTTGGCCAAGTATTGAATGTGTAACAAATATTGTCTTTAATAATTATTTTATTCTTTTTAATTTACATTCTTCCCCTTATTTTCCTTCAAAACTTTCTTCCTAATGTAGCTGAATATCTGGGGAATAATGTGGATTGCTATAATTTTTAGATAAGTTGAGATGATGAAAAAAAATCACAGATGAAAAGTAATGGCTTGAGCTCATGCTGATTTGAATATGGTCCCCTCTCAGGTATATCCAGAGCACATGCGCAACATCTGGGGAGGGTCTCTACGAAGGCTTGGACTGGCTTTCCAACAACATTGCTAGCAAGGCAAGTACACAAAGAAAATACAAGAAATTTAAAAGTATTTACAATTATCCTGTGCCCCATGATAGTGTTTGTACATTGAATGAGGATTTGATGTTGCTGCACTGTTTTTTTTTTTTTTTTTTTTGGGTTGAAATAAGTTGATTTTGACTCGCATTTTTTAAACTTGTTTCATTTAATGTTTTTATGGTTGCAGGCATAAGAATATCAAGGATTGTGGTTGCTGGTGGTCTTTTTGCTGGAAGCATGGGAAGATACTGTGTAGGCTGTTTATGTTTATCTTTGCAATTCCTAGAAATGATACTCTTAAATTTTTAGGTGACGTATTAGCAAAATGGTTGGATGGATATACTTTTTGAAGCTATTGTTTGGTTTTGTACAACTGCTGCCTCGGATATTACTTCTTATTAGCTGTAAATGCTACTATTATGGTTCACTTCACTTTGAAATGAGCAACTATTTTGTTGTCTTTGGTTTTTATTGGATTTTTCGGGATATTGTCCCATAAATATTGTATTCATGGATGCTTTTAACCTGCCACTTCGACTTTCGGATAGTTTTGGCTTTTTACGTAAGAATCACCCGAGTTCATAGGGTATTTCAGATGGGGGAACTGCACTGGCAAGTGTCGGGTGGATACTTCATTGCATTTGTTTGATTATTGGCTGATATATCAGTTGATGATCGGTTGGATATTGTTATGTTTTATTAATTGATATTGTCTTGTAGTTGAGCAGCAAGAGTTTACTTATTAGTATGTTAGGCTGATTATTTTGTCCAGTCTTCATTAAAATTCAATGGGACTAATGTTCTTGAAGGGACTGAGTAGGTGATTATTGGTGGTTGCTTTGTGTTCTATGGGAGAGAATTGCAGGCGGTACATTGAAGAACTTGAAAATGCCTTGGGGACTTGACAAGGGGGAAGATGTCTAATCCGGGTCCTCTTTAGCACTGGACGGTCCGTCGGACGGGCCATTGCACTGGGATGGTGGAGAACACTCCAAAGGAAGTGTGAACCCCTTTCTCCGTGGAGTGATCTACACCTTTCCTTATGCACCGGACGGTCAATTGTTGGGATTCAAATTCCTCTCTCAAGTGGGAGCTCTCGTATGTTTTGCCATTCCCAAATGTGGGTGTGGCTAGCATTGTGAATCTAGGAATCTATGCTATCTGGTAATATGGGGATTTGAGAGAGACTTTAGTGAGCCACAATCAATCTGGTGTTTTTGACAATTAGTACCATAAATATGTTCGGGAAATTGTATCGATATCTCATGACATTGGAACATTTTTGTATTCGGAAGAGCAAGAATTATTTCTTCGGCATTGAGATATGCGACTGCCATGTAAGAATTATTTTTTTGGCATTGAGATATGCGACTGCCATATATTGTGATGATTGCTGGCTTAACGCAAAAAATTACACAATCATATAGTCAGTGATGGCCTTAATTTTGATGTTAACCCAATAAAGTTCTTAGGCTATGGTCAGATATACCAAGTGTCTCACAAAAATCATGACTCTGCCTTTTTATTGCAGAAAAGGATGTCTATTTGATATTAGCAGCTCATATTAAATTGTCTGAATTTGATTTAGTTTGGTGTTGTGTATGTTTTCCTAGTGACTTTATCACATAAATGAGAAAATTTTCCAAGATAGATAATGACATGCTTGATAAATTCTTACGGGATTTGGATAGAGGAAAGGAAAAAAAAAAAAGAATAGATTTGAAATCATGTTTGTATGTTTGGAATTTAATCTAGAATTTAATTATAAAGGATATGTTTATTTTACCATTTTATCCGAATTGCAGTATTATCGTTTCATTAGAAAGAGTGGCAAATTGGGTAAGTTACACTCTTTAATTAATAGGATTTTAGTATTCCATTGGTTCCAATATTTTGAATTCCAAATTCACGGCATGAATTAAGAAGTTGATAGACGATGTCTTTTATAAATTTATCCATATAGGTTGTGTTATGATAATGGCAATGACACACCTAACACCCACAAGCCACGTACACATGACAAGTTGAGGACTCGCCTAAAAGTGTGATTGTTGAGCTTAACAATGTTTTCAGAAGATTCCTATGGACAGAAATTGGTCTAAAAAAACTTGAGCCAACATATATGCAAGCCAAAATCAGCATTCATAATATTGAGGTGTCAAATAAAGCTAAGCATAATGAGGCATATATGGGCTATATATACTTGCTGAGAAAGATCATGACATTTGGGTTAGATGGGTGAAATGTTACCTCATTAAGGCACTCTGACCACAAGTTCTGGGATTCGAAGATTATGCAGTCAAGCTCGTGGTGGAGGAGATTACTTCAACTCAGGGGTCTGGCTAGGCATTTCATCAAATGGAGGATGTGCAATCTTCGCAAAACGTTATGATTAGTATCTCATATTCGGATTAGTCATATTATCATATAGCCGTAAATTAGGCTGAAAATTTGTTTGAATTTGATCTAGCTTGGGGCTTGAGTCACTTGATAATGCATATATGTTTTTCTAGCCGCTTATTTATTTTTTATTTTTTAAATATTTTATTTTTTTATCACATTAGTATTCACACAATATTTTACCATGCGTGTTCGGTTGATTTAGCTTGGCGCTTGATAATACATATATGATATATGTCTTTAGTTGATTTAGCTAACACTAATCTTCCAAAAATTGGAGAAAGATTGCTAAAGAATTTAGTATTTCAATATAGATATGAATATTAATATTATTATTATTTAATATATTTCGAAAGGTAAATTTCAATATAGATATGAATATGGACACTCTACATAGAACATGGAGAAGATGGATCTCCTGAATTCCTGCAATCAGGTGGCTTCGCTGGTGGCCGAACAGGTGGAAAAGGGAGCTCCCATTCTTCAAATATTCTGCTAGCTAGCATCCAGAGAGTGGGTAATAGTTGAGGACATTAGCTTCCATCTAATTGGTGGAAGCACTGCATTTGCAAAGAGATTTTTTCTTGAAGATCCTCCTATTGCATTCATTCCAGATGTTGTAAACCAGTGAGGAGGATCTTCAAGAAAAAACCCTAGCTATTAGTTGTCATTTCTCTAAGCTTTAAATTCTATCCATTTCCCACTATATTCAGAAAGAAAGCAATGCCATTTCTCTGAAAATGATCTTTGATTTAAATATGATCGATTTTTCAAACATGAACAAGGGAGAGGAAGAGCAAGAAGAGAGAAAAAGACCACTACCCGGAGGCCAACAGAGCGAATGGAATCCTATCCTTTCAATAATGCATGAAGTAGAATCAATTCCAGCAAAACTAAATATTAGAACCTACCTACTACATTAAACAAAACCTTAAATTATATTGTACGACATAATCTATTAAATATTAGATGCTACTATATATTGAACAAAATCATGAACGAGGCTTCAATCCGGACATTCTCGGGAATGAGGGCTTGTACCACCAAATGGACAATGGATAGAACTTGTATGCTCTGTTGCTATATTGGATCTTGCATTGCTTTGAGTGATCGCTCAACATTGTTGTGCCTGTTGTTGTGCTTCTTCTTCTTGTTGTGTTATCATAAGAAAATATGATCGTGACATTCTCACAAGTGAATCTCGAAACGAAATTGATAGGAAAAGATGTGTATGGCGGCGAAATAAGGCTCACAGCATCTTCTATGCTCACCGTAAAATTCACTACAATGCAATTTTTTGACCAATTACTCGCCAAAATATCATTGCTGGCCACGAATAAGGCAGACTTTGATCCTCCCCCAACTCATACTGATAGAAAGGTGAGATAATAGCGGTAGAGAGATTAACTTTTTTGTAAAAGATTGAAACATTAATTGTTTGATTATGAATGACTTTTTGATACTTGTAAGGGTTTCGAATGTCGAAACTAACATTCCAACGGATGATCGCACTATTATTATTTACTTGTGCGGAGGTCAAGTTGAATGGAGGAATGCGTGAGATATTATCGAAGAGTGAATGAAGATGAAATATTGGAGGGTTTAGGTTACCTGGCATTGGCAATATTATAATCATCCGAACGCATTCACAAAACAAGAAGAAATTAATAACTGCCACAGTGACAAAGATATAAAGAGAGCGTCACACTTGGACTTGGGTGGCGCTGGCACAAGCATTGGTATAGTGTCGACGGCCATATTAATTTTGGTGCGTGCTTAATGTTGACCCAAAGGTTGATCAATATTGCTGCCTCCTGCTTAATAAAATTAAAAATAATGAAAAGAAGGTAACTCGTAACAACTTCTACAGAAGAATATATGTAAAGAATATATATATATGTTTGATAATGAAATCTCAATTTCGTCTACAGAATGAATTAGTAAAATCTAATTTAAAAATAATATTCAATAAAGTAATTAAATAATTATTTTTTAAAATGATAATTACAAAATCTGAACAATAATAAATTAAAAAATTATTCTATAAAAATATAATTAGCAAAACTCTAAAAATGATCAATAAACATAAAATTGACACGTAAAAAAGAATAATAATAATTAATTAAACTTTTCAATAGAAATTTAATTATTGATAGGTGTAATTTTAAATTCCTAAAATAATATCAAAATCAAGACTCAATTCACTAAATTTCAGCAACAAATTCAATTCAAAATAAAGTACAACCCAAACACAAAAAAAAAAAAAACATTGAAATTTTCATATCAACAACTTAACAATCCAAATTGTAAAGCCAAATTTTGAAATAACCAATTTAATTAATTAATAAAACTGTATATTAAAAGAAAATATCATGATGCTTCTGAAAATAATTTTTAAAAAATTGAAGAAAAAATCAAAACTTTTTCAAGTCCAACCCAAACGCCAAGAAACCCCATGTATGACTCAAAACAATAAATTAAGATTTAGCCAAAAATTAAAAATTGGAAATTTTAAAAAAAGTAACATATCAAAAACTTTCAGCAACAATTTAATTCAAAATCAAGTCTAAAACAAACACAAAAACAATGAAACCCTAACTCAAACTAATAAAATAAGAATGAACCAAAAATAATTAAAAAAAAAAAAATAGGAAGAAAAAACTACAATCCAAAGTAAACTTACAGAGAGTAGGTCAACAACGATTACTGTTGTCTTCTCAATACCAATTATAAGTAATTGGAACGGAATGGGTGCTCTTGGTGCAATATATATATATGTTATATGTGATGTAATTTTATAGAAAATAAAATAAGTAATTTATCGTAAGAGTTTTATAGAAATTCTTTTTTTTTTTTTTAAATATTTCTTGTCTAATTAAATTTTCTTTTATTAAAAAACTCATAATAAATACGTGTTTGTGGGACTCCAATTCATTGTTACAAATGATGCAAATTGAGGCATTGAGGAATGCAATGCATCTTCTATTCAGTGTTGGAAGACAATGCTGTATAGCAACTCATAGTGCTTTAAAAGTTTGGGTGTTGAGAGTGGGTTATCACATTTGGGCCAA